TGGCCCCCCACTTCCTTTCTTTTGGCAACCGCACCAGCTCCGTTCGTGATGTAGTGCCCGTTGCGGTCTTTGTGAAGTTCACTGTCAGCCACGGGTCTCATCATGTTTCTTGCATGTGCTGCCTTGCAAATCTTGTACCACACCTCGTCGGAGGCGCGGACGCGAGACCTCGTCCTTTTGAGGGGCATCCTGTCATCCTGGAGCCACCACCCCGTAGGGTCGCTCACGGCAGTCAGCACTTCACCTTCCAAGAACTCCGTGATGAGTTTCACTCCTGCCGATCCTTCCGCTGGCCAAGCTGCTATAACCTTCTCTGCATCAAGGTCCTGCATGTGCTCAATTGGGCTCCCCATGTAGTCAAACTTCTTGCTGTTGAGAAGCTCCTTCACCTTTGGCGTCGGCGGAAGCTGATCAGCCACCATGATGTTCCTATCTATGGTCTGGGCCAGAATCTCAATGGCCTCCTCCTGGTTTGGCGACAGCCCTGGGTCCATTGGGACACAAATAGGCTTTGTCCATCCACAACAGTAGAAGTAGTCCAGCATCATCACCGTCGCCTGGACCCAATGGAGGTTTTCCGCATTGACGCCTTTCAGCCCTGTTCTCACTGCCGATGGTGGATGGGTAACACATCACCACGCCTTTGTCGGGTTGGCCTCGAGGCCGGAGGCGGCTGCGTCGACGCATACCGGCGTGCAAAGTCCCCCATCGGCCCATCCATTGTCAGGATGAGATCCAAGAGGTGGCGGCCAACACTCCCGTAGGAGACCTGTTTTGTGAGCAGTCCTCGGACTTGGCTCTGCCACCTTTCTATGCTGTAAGGCTGGATCTTCCCATCCTCCGATTTCGGCCTCAAATTAGCCCTTTCTTCCTCATCAGAGTTTCCAATGCCATTCAGCTCTTCCTCGGCCCAATCCTCCACTTCAGTGAGGGTCACGCCACGGGAGGCTTGTCTTTTGATGGGGGTTCGGCTCCTTTGCCTTTGCCTCTGTCTCCCTTCTTGCCCCCCTTCCATTTGCCTTTCCCTGGCGGGGCTCTTACGTCCTCGGTCGCCGGGGCTTCTCCTTTCGGACCTCCTTTGTGGCCCACGAGCCACTTCCTCATTTTTGCTTCCATCAGCTGCTCCTTCGATGCCATCCTCTGCTCCTCGGCGTCCGCCAGGCCTGCTGTCTCCAGGGGGATGAGTTCCAAAAATTGTGCGCGGGACCATCCCTGATCGTGGATGGTCAGTTCGAGCGCCTTCAACCTCTGCGCCACCAGGTCCGCGCATCTCTCCAACTCCCCGGCCCCCAGATAGTCCAGCGCCTGGGCGAGCGTCCTCATCTCGCGTTGAAGGCGCAGCGGCATCTTTTCTTTGTGCTGCGGATAGAGCACCGTGAGGTAGTATTGGACAGCAGCTTGAGGAGTTCTCGTCACGTTGGCGGCCAGGACGCTGTTCATGGGGGCCCCCGTCCGACTGGCAACTTGCGCCATCTTCTGAAGAAGACGGGCTGCCAGCCGGCCTGGCTTGTGGTCCGCGTACTCCATGAGCACTAGTTGTTGGGACTTCTTCTCGGGGACCCCCGCCTGAAAAGACGACTCCTCAGAATCCTCAGAGCTCTCGCTGTCATCCTTTCGGCCACTGTCACTCCCATAGGAGACCTCCCTTCCTGCTCCAAAAGGGCCTCTATCGGCTTTCTTTTTGGACCTCCTCGAGGAGGATTTAGCCTTTTTCCCCTTTTTATCCTTCTTCTTCTTTTCCTGTTCATCCTCTTCTGACTCATCTGTATCCTCATCATCCTCTGAAGCGTCGGCTTCATTGCGCCCAAACCACACTGGCTCCTCAGCAATGGTCACCCTCGGGCGCTTTGACTTCTCCTGCCTTGGTTTGCCAACCGACTGACTTCGCAGGGCACTTTTTCGGCCAGGTGGCTTGGCCTCCGTCTCCTTTTTCCGCTTCTTGGTGCCCTTTCTGGCCTGCCCAGCCGGAGCTGTCTCCCTCTTGAGGGCCTCCAACTTTTCCGCCAAGGAGCGTGGAGCATCCAGCCCAGCCAGGCCAGTATGCCCAGGATCATCCTCGGGACCCTCGTCACTTGGCTCAAAGTCCAAGAGGTCTCGGGAAGGCGCGGCCTTAGCCGTCTGAGCAGCACCCTTCAGACAAGAAGCTCTGAAGGACTCGAAGTCTCCCTTAGCGGGCTCAACCAGCCACCAAGCGGCCACCCGATTCTTGATGTCAAGGGCTGACACCGTCCTCAAAGAGTCCGTGTGAAACTGGACAATCTCCTTCTTGGTGATTCGCTTGTACTTTGTCACCTGTTCATGACACAAGTGCAGCTGGAAGCGGCCCTTGTACTTCGAGCCCGGGCCCTTTCCTAGCCACCAGACCAGATCGTCATCTTCAGCGCATCGGATCTGGATGCCAAGCCAGCATCCATGGCCATCTCTATCGATCGTGTCCTCCACCGTGGCCAACACCCGCCCTTGGGCAGCTGGCTTGTCATCATACGCGATGAACTCGATCGCGCTTCCAGCCTGGTAAGGCTGGTCAGCCAGGTACCCTGGATTGTGTCCTCCCACAATCCAGGGCCCCGGCATCTGCCCCTTAAGGCTTCCTTCCCCGTGGGGAGATGTCGCCCGATTTGGGCTTGAGAGAAAACGCTGCGGAACAATTACGCATAAACCGTCGTACAACTGGTCAAGACCATTTGATAACTCCTCTTTATATATATTTATAACCACCTTTAAAAAGATGGTAAAAGCATGTGTAACAAGTTTTGACACAACCCCTTTTCTTTGCAAAAAAAACGTTCTGTTTTTGCTGTTTCTGATCTTAGATCCTTTAGACAGGGGGCGATGGACAGAAAACAATCTTCAAAAGTGGGCAGTGACGAATTATGGGGGTACCCTCTGTTAATTTAACATAGCTATAGAAAATCACCATTTTTAATAGGTAAACCATCTATAAATGGACCATTTTCCATAGCTATGTTAGTTTACCAGAGGGTAATCTTCCATACCGGGACGCCCCAGGTGTCCTCTGAAATCCACTGTTTGGTTGAGGGGGTTGACCGCCCGGCTCAACAGGTAGGTAGGTCAATAGCTACACAAAGTGTGTCTTCGGAGAGATTGGGGAACGATAATGATTCAATGGGAATTTCAGAATCCTGAACTGGAGGTACCGTACCATATAAGACCATATCTTATGGGGATATTCCCTTACATAGGCCTGAAAAATAGGCCCAAAATATATGGAATCGGTACCTCGAATCAATCGGTTCCTGGCCAGCATGGCCATTCAATGATCTTCATGTCTGGTAAGCCCAACAGGAAACCTACCATGTAGGGATGGTTTCTGGAAACCATGCATGGATATTCATGATCATATTGGGGGTCTTTGTGGGCATTGTCTTGACCACATTACCAAAACTGCTTGGTGGTGCAATAACTCACCATCTTGAAATATGATGGAGTTCGTCAATGGGTTTCGGATGACATGCCATATATGAAATGGAAAATAAAAGTCATGCTTGAAACCACCAACCAGAAAAGTTCATTCCCCCAAACTCGAAAAAGTTTTGGCGCTAAAAGACTGCCAACCAGGCGACCAGAAACCATGGAGAATTGTGGGTAAACCCTAGGTGTTTTTTACCATAAGGGTTTGGACGCCAAGTCTGTTTGCATATTGTTACATACCCTCTGGTAAACTAACATAGCTATGGAAAATCACCATTTTCAATGGGTAAATCCACTATAAATGGCCATTGTCAATAGCTATGTTAAATTACCAGAGGCAATTCTATACCCAGGGAAATGTATCAGGCATATATATTAGTTTTTCAGGATTAGCTCAACGTGTGTTGCGCCTGTGTCACCTAGTACATGGCTAAAAATCCACAACATGATATACCCTCTGGTAAAAAAAACAGTTTGCGAACTTGAAGCCATGGCCCAGTCGAAATCGCTGATTTACCCATTTTCATCGCTTGGTGGATCTTTCCATCGTTTTTTTGTAAACGTTTACCAGGCCGGGTATCCCTATAATCCCATATTTTGCTGGGGATCTTCCATCATTGGGGCTTGGTATCACCCATGTGGACGCCCTAAATCCCAAGCTACCTACCATTGATTAATACAATCCCAATTAATATAGGGCTTAGGGGTTATATGGCTATAGTTGTAGGGGATATATGATGTTATGATATATGGCTATAGTATGCTATAGTTACATTGCCAATCAAAAAGATACCCTACAAACAATGACAAATTCTTAGCTGGTGAACGTAGATAATCCCATACCAAAAGACTATTCAGGATGAGTTTGTACCCACCCAGTTTTTTTTCACCTAGAAATCCCTATAATCATGTACCATCATGTAGCCATCTTCAGCCCCAAATTGGCATTCCAAGAGACCATCGCCCCATTTTCTGTAGAGGTGAGTTTTAAATCATCCATCTGATTAAATACCTTGATTAGAACGGTATAGAAGATTATGGATAGTTACTTGGATAGAATGACCCGATATACCAAGGTTACCATACTAAACACCATTCTATACCATTCTGACCCAAGTCATCTTGTTGATTACTCTGGTAAGTGGGATTATAACCCACAAGGGGGTACATGGGCACACATAGTTACAGGACTTGCATGGACTTACGATCACCAGGCTTCTTAACCATGAATCGTTGATCCTTCAAACACTTACTCAGCAAGTAGCATTGAACTAACCATTACCTTTGGTAACGTAGCGATATGTAGCTATGGACCATTGACCTATATATATATATGTGATAAAACCATAAGACTCATCATTTCCCTTGCCCAAGGAAAGATATAAAATATTATAAAACGATAAAAGTCGTCATGTTCCCTTATGCTCCATGTATGCAATATTTACCAACATTTGCCCTAAAAATCACCGCGTTTTGTAGGTAAATATACCAGCACCATGGAGCATTTGGGGTTTATTCATGTTCCCTAAAAACATGGATGATTTGTGCCCGCATCACCGGCGAGGCACTGGAGGACGCTTGTTCCAGATGCGGATGTCTGAAGCGGTGCCTGATATCCGAGCTATTCATGGGAATGAGCATAGTGTATAATAGGGATATAATAGGGTATATATATATTAATATGATGAAATATCATGTATATATTATATATCCCTATTTCTTATGCCTGATAACATATAATTCCATAACATATAATAGGGATATTTGCTAGGAATATTTAAGCATAATGTCAGTTCATTTCATATATATCTAATGGTGATATAATGGGTATATAATTTTAGGATAGGTTGGGGATTGAAAAAATGGGAAGGACCCCTACGATTTTTGGGTGCAGTTAGGGTGGGAAACCGGGCTCCGCTACGGTGAATTGATGTCCACTTAGTTCACTGCAACTGCGCTCTCAATGAATATATACTTGTGCGCGCGTATGTAAATGTTATATATATATATATGTGTATGCCACTATGTATATATATATATTATTAATGTATAGTCAGGATTAATAAACCCCCCGAATTAGCGAATCCCCGTCCCTCCGAAAATTTTGGGGCAATACTAAAGTCCTCTACGTGCTGATTTCCCCCCCTAATAATAGATATGTACCCCCTAATTAGCGAATCCCCTCTGGGATCCCCATTTTTTTGGTGGGACTAATTTGCTATTACTCCCTTTTACTTTTTAATTCGGATTACAATTTCCAGGGTTACTTCCTATTTTGGTTTACCATAGGTATTCTTATCTTTTCTCACTGGAATCTGATGGTTTACCATTCATTTTCGAATCTTCCCTCATAGGAATTTGATGGTTTCTACGTGGTTTCCTCATCTTCCCTCAAAGGAATTTGATGGTTTACCAGAGGTTTTCTGATCATGTCTCATTGGAATTTTATGGTTTACCCTAGGTTTTCTTGTCTTTTCTCATAGGAATCTCATGGTTTACCATTCATTTTCGAATCTTCCCTCATAGGAATTTGATGGTTTCTACGTGGTTTCCTCATCTTCCCTCAAAGGAATTTGATGGTTTACCAAAGGTTTTCTGATCATGTCTCATTGGATTTTTGTATGGTTTACCATTAATTTTCGAATGTTTCCTCATAGGAATTTGATGGTTTCTACGTGGTTTCCTCATCTTCCCTCATAGGAATTTGATTGTTTACCAGAAGTTTTCTGATCATGTCTCATTTGAATTTTATGGTTTACCCTAGGTTTTCTTATCTTTTCTCATAGGAATCTCATGGTTTACCATTCATTTTCGAATCTTCCCTCATAGGAATTTGATGGTTTCTACGTGGTTTCCTCATCTTCCCTCAAAGGATTTTGATGGTTAACCATAGGTTTTCTCATCTTTTCTCATAGGAATCTGATGGTTTACCATAGGTTTTCTCATCTTTTCTCATAGGAATCTCATGGTTTACCATTCATTTTCGAATCTTCCCTCATAGGAATCTGATGGTTTACCATAGGTTTGCTTATCTTTTCTCATAGGAATCCGATCTTTCCTCATCCACCTCGCAAGTATGCTCTTGCAACGTGGCACTTTTTTTACTACTGCTACTACTACTACTCCTCCTCCTGCTGCTGCTGCTGCTTCTTCTACTGCTGTTACTACTGCTACTACTACTACTACTACTACTACTACTACTGCTACTGCTACTGCTACTGCTACTGCTACTGCTACTGCTACTGCTACTGCTGCTACGGCTGCTACGGCTACTACTTCTACGACGACGACGACGACGTAATTTGATATGCACATATACAAGTGGATCCGGATAAGCCACAACCAAAAAAAAAGAGGGCATCTTGAAGGCACCCTCTATCAGTGCAAGGGCTGTGCTTTCAGGGGGTCGAAGCCGCACTATTGCCAAACACACTGGTTTCAGATGTTTTTTGTGGGTTGGCTCATCACGTTGGGAAGAGGTGACTCTCTTTCATTGCAAGAGCTGTGCTTTCATTAGGTCGAAGCCACGCTATTGCCAAACACACTGGTTTCAGATGTTTTTTTGTGGGTTGGCTCATCATGTTGGGAAGAGGTGACTCTCTTTCATTGCAAGAGCTGTGCTTTCATTAGGTCGAAGCCGCGCTAGTGCCAAACACACTGGTTTCAGAGGTTTTTTGGCTCATGATGATGGGAAAAGTTGACTTTTTATCGTTGCAAGAGCCTTTCGTGAGCCGGAGGCGACTACCAAAGGGTTGGGGAGGGTTATTTGGGGGGGTTTTATTAATTGGGGGGGTTGTTTGGGGGTTTGGCTGCGGGTTTGGTTGGGGGGTTAGGGGGGTGTTGCGCATTGTGTTTTTGATTCCGGCAAACCCCTTCCCGGCCCAGTCAGTGGTTCTATAAAGCCATTTTTTGCCATTTAGGGCAAACCCCCATGGCATAGTGGTATTGAATAAGCTTTGGGCCGATGGACCCAGGTTCGATTCCCGGAGGGTGCGTCTTGCAGCCCGATTCCCGGAGGGGGCGTCTTGCAGCCCGGGGGTGGCACACAGCTGGCTTGAATGCTTGTGTGTTGTGCTTCTTTTCTCCGCCAATGTCTTGCTGTTGTGATAGCTACCTTTGCCTGCTTCTGGACTTTGCCTCTAATTACTTCATGGTGGCTTTCTTTCATTGCAAGCGCTGTGCTTTCATTCGGTCGAAGCCGCACTATTGCCAAACACAGTGGTTTGAGAGGGTTTTTTGTGGGTTTGCTCATCATGTTGGGAAGAGGTGGTTCTCTTTCATTGCAAGAGTTGTGCTTTTCAGTACGTCGAAGCCGCACTATTGCCAAACACACTGGTTTCAGAGGGATTTTTGTGGGTTTGCTCATCATGTTGGGAAGAGGTGGCTCTCTTTCATTGCAAGAGCTGTGCTTTCAGTACGTCGAAGCCGCACTATTGCCAAACACACTGGTTTCAGAGGTTTTTTGTGGGTTGGCTCATCATGTTGGGAAGAGGTGACTCTCTTTCATTGCAAGAGCTGTGCTTTCAGTAGGTCGAGCCGCACTATTGCCAAACAGACTGGTTTCAGATGTTTTTTGTGAAGTTGCCATCAATTGGGCAATTAATTATTCAACAACTACATCAACATTGCCTGATCTTTCCTCATCCACCTCGCAAGTATAATATACGTTTGCAATGTGGCAGTTTCAAGACGCCAAAACTGGAAAAAAAAACACATCCCCCAAATGATCGATTTCTAATTATAATTTAATTAAAAAATGCTGTTTTTGGGAGCTCAGAAAGGCTACCCCCCTTGAGCGGTGTCCCCCCCACAAATAAAAGGACGCCCCCCCCAATTAGTAAACCCCAGCCAGCTGCGATGATTTTTTTACATGCGTGCTTCAGACTGCAATCAATTAAGCAATGAATTAGTTCAACAACTATATCAACATTGCCTGATCTTTCCTCATCCACCTCGCAAGTATAATATACTTTTGCAATGCGCCAGTTTCAAAACGCCAAAACTGGAAAAAAAACGCATCCCCCAAATGATCGATTTCTAATTAAAATCTAATTAAAAAATGCTGTTTTTGGGAGCTCAGAAAGGCTACCCCCCTTGAGCGGTGTCCCCCCCACAAATAAAAGGACGCCCCCCCGAATTAGTAAACCCCAGCCAGCCGCGATGACTTTTTTATATGCGTGCTTCAGATTGCAATCAATTAAGCAATGAATTAGTTCAACAACTACATCAACATTGCCTGATCTTTCCTCATCCACCTCGCAAATATATTTTTGCAATGTGGCAATTTCAAGACGCCAAAACTGGAAAAAAAAACGCATCCCCCAAATGATCGATTTCTAATTAAAATGTAATTAAAAAATGTTGTTTTTGGGAGCTCAGAAAGGCTACCCCCCTTGAGCGGTGTCCCCCCCACAAATAAAAGGACGCCCCCCTAATTAGTAAACCCCAGCCAGCCGCGATGACTTTTTTATATGCGTGCTTCAGACTGCAATCAATTCAGCAATGAATTAGTTCAACAACTATATCAACATTGCCTGATGTTTCCTCATCCACCTCGCAAGTATAATATACTTTTGCAATGTGCCAGTTTCAAGACGCCAAAACTGGAAAAAAAAACGCATCCCCAAATGATCGATTTCTAATTAAAATCTAATTAAAAAATGCTGTTTCTGGGAGCTCAGAAAGGCTACCACCCTTGAGCGGTGTCCCCCCCACAAATAAAAGGACGCCCCCCCCAATTAGTAAACCCCAGCCAGCCGCGATGAGTTTTTTATATGCGTGCTTCAGACTGCAATCAATTAAGCAATGAATTAGTTCAACAACTACATATATCAACATTGCCTGATCTTTCCTCATCCACTTCGCAAATATGTTTTTCCAATGTGGCACTTTTTACTACTGCTACTACTACTGCTGCTAATACTACTGCTAATACTACTGCTACTACTACTACTACTGCTACTACTACCACTATCACTACTGCTGCTGCTACTTTTTCTGCTACTACTGCTACTACTGCTACTTCTTCCTCTTCTACTACTACTAATACTACTAATACTACTCATACTACTCATACTACTAAAACTACTAATAATTACTACTAATACTACAAAGTATTACAAAGTACTACAACAACTACTACTACTACTGCTACTACTACTACTGCTGCTACTACTACTACAACTATAACTACAACTACAACTACAACTACTACAACGACGACGTAATTTGATAGAAGGCACCCTCTATCAGTGCAAGGGCTGTGCTTTCAGTAGGTCGAAACCGCACTATTGCCAAACACACTGGTTTCAGAAGTTTTTTGTGGGTTGGCTCATCATGTTGGGAAGAGGTGGCCCTCTGTCATTGCAAGAGCTGTGCTTTCAGTATCGAAGCCGCGCTATTGCCAAACACACTGGTTTCAGAGGTTTTTTGTGGGTTGGCTCATCATGTTGGGAAGAGGTGGCTTTCTTTCATTGCAATAGCTGTGCTTTCATTAGGTCGAAGCCACGCTATTGCCAAACACACTGGTTTCAGATGTTTTTTGTGGGTTGGCTCATCATGTTGGGAAGCGGTGTCTCTCTTTCATTGCAAAAGCTGCGCTTTCAATAGGTTGAAGCCGCACTATTGCCAAACACCTTGGTTTCAGATGTTTTTTGTATCATGATGATGGGAAAAAGTGACTTTTTATCGTTGCAAGAGCCTTTCGTGAGCTGGAGGCCACTACCAAAGGGTTGGGGAGGGTTATTTGGGGGGGTTTCATTAATTGGGGGGTTGTTTGGGGGTTTGGCTGCGGGTTTGGTTGGGGGGTTAGGGGGGTGTTGCGCATTGTGTTTTTGATTCCGGCAAACCCCTTCCAGGCCCAGTCAGTGGTTCTATAAAGCCATTTTTTGCCATTTAGGGCAAGCCCCCATGGCATAGTGGTATTGAATAGGCTTTGGGCCGATGGACCCAGGTTCGATTCCCGGAGGGTGCGTCTTGCAGCCCGGGGGTGGCACACAGCGGCTTAGATTCCCGGAGGGTGCGTGGGGGTGGCACACAGCGGCTTAGATTCCCGGAGGGTGCGTCTTGCAGCCCGGGGGTGGCACACAGCTGGCTTGAATGCTTGTGTGTTGTGCGTCTTTCTCTGCCAATGCCTTGCTGTTATGTTAGCTACCTTTGCCTGCTTCTGGACATTGCCTCTAATTACTTCACGGTGGCTTTCTTTCATTGCCAGAGTTGTGCTTTCCGCACGTCGAAGCCGCACTATTGCCAGCACACTGGTTTCAGAGGTTTTTTGTGGGTTGGCTCATCATGTTGGGAAGAGGTGACTCTCTTTCATTGCAAGAACTGTGCTTTCATTAGGTCGAAGCCGCGCTATTGCCAAACACACTGGTTTCAGAGGTTTTTTGTGGGTTGGCTCATCATGTTGGGAAGAGGTGACTCTCTTTCATTGCAAGAACTGTGCTTTCATTAGGTCGAAGCCACGCTATTGCCAAACACACTGGTTTCAGAGGTTTTTTGTGGGTTGGCTCATCATGTTGGGAAGAGGTGGCCCTCTTTCATTGCAAGAGCTGTGCTTTCAGTAGGTCGAAGCCGCACTATTGCCAAACACACTGGTTTCAGAGGTTTTTTGGCTCATGATGATGGGAAAAGTTGACTTTTTATCGTTGCAAGAGCCTTTCGTGAGCTGGATAAACCTATGATAAACCATCAGATTCCTATGAGAAAAGATGAGAAAACCTATGATAAACCATCAGATTCCTATGAGAAAAGATGAGAAAACCTATGATAAACCATCAGATTCCTATGAGAAAAGATGAGAAAACCTATGATAAACCATCAGATTCCTATGAGAAAAGAGAAACCTATGATAAACCATCAGATTCCTATGAGAAAAGATGAGAAAACCTATGATAAACCATCAGATTCCTATGAGAAAAGATGAGAAAACCTATGATAAACCATCAGATTCCTATGAGAAAAGATGAGAAAACCTATGATAAACCATCAGATTCCTATGAGAAAAGGTAAGAAAACCTATGGTAAACCATCAGATCCCTATGGGTTTCTCATAGGAATCTGATGGTTTATCATAGGTTTCCTCATCTTTTCTCATAGGAATCTGATTGTTTACCATAGGTTTTCCAATCTTTTCCCATAGGAATCTTATAATAATCGTTTATGGATGAATGAATGGTCACATTATTTGGGGGGTTCGGTTTTTGGACCTCCTCACTGGACCTTGTTGACCTAGTTGACCTATAGGGGGGGGGGTTTATTAATCCGGTGTCAACATTACTATTATTATTATTATCTATATATATATACACCTTAGACCTAGCCCCGTGACTAGCTAACTTGGTTTATAACTGGAAAGCGACAAACAGAACAGAGCCTGAGACCCTTTGCGAAAATGCGACTCCAAGTCGCAATAATGGAGGCAAATCGCTGGACAAAAGAGATGGTATCTGGGTGTCTCCGAAAGTTGCGTATACACCGTATACACCAAAAATATCCCAAAATAACATGTCACAAGGCAATAGGGAAAATTATGATATATAATCCATGATGATCCACTAGATTTTGGGGTACCTTATTTCCAAACAATCCCATTTACCAAAATGGAAAAACAAGTGGGGATGGCACAAGCCTGCCCCTTGACATTAGATACTCCTCAATTGAGCTTTCAAGTTTAGTTTAGTATCAGAAAAAATCTCGGATCTATGTACCGTACTCGTTTTGTATGGGAAAAAAATCATTTGAATCCTTCCCAGAATGATGACCAGCCATTCTTATGCAAGGTGGTGTCCCCAAGCCTTTGCCTGAGGGCGCACTGATCCCCGATACGTGATCCATAACGGGGCAGTATGACATATAACCGTTTAATCCTGTATAACCCCTAGAAATTCATCAACCACCAGGGGGGTTGGAAATGGTTGGAACACTTCCAAAACATATCTGCCTTCAAAAAATCTCCATCCCACGGATGAATCGATCTCCATGGACCAAGCAACCCCAAGATGTGTCGCATATCGCCATCCATTGAAGGCAACGGGTTGGGCTCTTTGGTCAGATCCTGCCGCAATCCGCATCTGGAGAAATCAATTTGGATAAATAGTGATAATTGTAGATCACACCCAACAGCACCTGAATAACATGGCCAATCAAAAAGATACCCTGCAAAAAATATCGAAAAATTACAAATTCTTAGCTGGTGAACGTAGATAATCCCATACCAAAAGACTATTCAGGATGAGTTCCTAGCCATTCTAGTTGGTTAACAATGGTTAATAATGGTGATTAATGAAAATAAACTACCCATCCAGTCGATTGACCAGCCGATAAGGCCTTGCTTTTTTTTGGGGCTGACCTTCCATGAAGGCAAGCCTTGGGCGTATCACAACGAGCTCGCCGATACGACAACCAGTCAAAAGGCCGTTCCGGCCGCTTAGTGCCTGAAATGGACAGGGCAAAGCGAACATCAAACAACAAACAAGAACAAAAAAACAAGACTTACTGGTGCTTAGTAGAGAATGGATGGGACTGGGGGAATGGGATGATTATTACTAGTGAGTATGGATCATTCCCTCATTCCCTGCTAAGCACCAGTAAGAAGAACAAGAACAAGAACGCTAACAAGAACAAGAGCACCACCAATAGAGACAACAACAATAAAAACAACAATAATAGAAACAACAATAATAAGAACAAGAACATCAACAGGAACAAGAACAAGGCCGTTTTGGGATAGTTACCATATAAACCATTGTGCCAGTGATGTCGCTAGATTCGCTAGATATATTTTAGCCAGCTCGACGGATTCTGGGGGAGCGTCACGTAGCGTCGTTGGTAATGGATTGGTATGAAGTACCCTCTGGTAATTTAACGTAGCTATTGAAAATCACCATTTATAGTGGATTTTCCCATCAAAAATGGTGATTTTCCATAGCTACGTTAAATTACCAGAGGGTATCTCATCCTCCTAAACCCTTAAACATGTCCATTCTAGGGTCCCAAAATGTCCCAAATCATGGTGATTTCATCCGGGAAAGTCACGATCTGCTCCACATGTTACATGTTGCCAAAATGGAGAAGCGTGTGACCACCACTTTCCCCATTGGGTGTACTTTGACCATAGCCGCACAAGGAAGAGATGTTCCCCAGTTATAAGACGGTATATAAACCCCAATAGCTATATATAGTTTGATCTATCTACCATAAGCCCTGCAAATAGTTCTCTTGCCAACTTTGCGAAGGATTGGGGGCACTACCCCCAACCTTTGCAATCCACCCATCCAGTTGGTTTCCGCAAGCGGGTGAAACCAAGCCGCAACAAACAGAACTACGTGGGGCGTCGTGGGACCACCGTAGCTGTCCAGAAAATGTGATGCTGATGATAATGATCATCATCATCATCATCTGGTTGGTCGTTTTAACCATCTTGAAAACTATGAAAGCCAATGGGAAGGATTATTCCATATATTATGGAAAATAAAAAATGTTCCAAACCACCAACCAGTCATTATTAGCATTATTTAGTTATTATGTTATTACTATGGTATTTCAGAAGATGTTGATATGTATGTAAGAGATTGTAAGAGTAAACTGAGTAAAGCGCAAACCCGACACTTGAGACTTGAGCAAAGCAACATGTTCCAATCTTCGCTTTTGATAACGTTCCTTCCAAGGATCACCATTTTCCCTCTAAAAATCACCATTTCTGCTCCAAAAATATACCATTGTCCCCTCCGAAAATCAATTTCTGCTCCAAAAATCTACCATTGTTCCCGCCGAAAATCAATTTCTGCTCCAAAAATCTACCATTGTTCCCACCTGAAAAACGACATTTTCCATCTCTCCTGTGCATCCGTCTGCTCGAGCCGCCCCACACGGTCCCCGGAGGAGTCGTTGCTGATGCCAATCCTGGGGCCAATCCTTCCCAATCCTTCCCGAAGGTGGCTGGAATATCCCCTGTCAATGGAGGTTTTCAATGGGAAAATCATGGGAAAATATAGGAAACTCCACAGTAAATGAAGGTTTTTGGTGGACAAATCATGACCTCAATGGGACTTGATGCCGATTTATGGTGATTTAACCAGCAATAGGCATTTCACGACAAGAACAATGAAGGGATCTCAATGGGATGTAATGGAATTAAAGAGGATAATGATGGCAATGGTTTAATCATTGAAGCTTGGGATTATTCATATCCTATGGCTGTGTATATCCTTTTTTTAGCCATATTTTCGAATGGGATTTAACCAATGGGAATGATTAAAGGGATAAATGGGATTCAACCGGCCGGAAGGATGAAAGTCTCTCTACATAACAACAATGGGGGTGAAAAACCTTTCGCTGACCCAAACACTTCCTTAGAAGGTACTTCTATAAAATTGTAAAGTCAATTTATAGCCCAAAGACTTAGAAGGTACTTGGATCAATAGGATCAAACATTGGGGTTTAATGGGATCTAACTAACAAATAATAATATTATATAAAATATAGGTTTACAACTGGGATAACCGGTAAATTAAGATAGTTTATGGAAATCCATGGCTTTCCCTAAGAAATCTAAGAAATGCCGAGAAAGTAACTGGTTATATATGGTCAAAGTTGGGTGGTTATCTTATCTCATAATCTGTTACATAGCCATGGGCAATGTCGATGTTGAATAGGTAAATCATCTATATACAAATGAATCATTTTGCATGGCCATGCTACATGACCAGAGTATTCCAAAAATTGGGTGATGTTTCCTTGTGGGTTGCATTAAATACTGTACTGGATCAGATTAATCACTTGCGATTCTTGGGATGCACATCCAAGTTGGAGCTTGAGATCATCAAGGGTTAAGAAGGATGATGGTTTGAGGTTTTATGTGAAAATATCTCCTGTGAATTTTGGTTTGCTTTGTTCAATTCATCTTTTTAAGTGCTGTTCGCCATGAACTGTTGGGTGGGGCGTCTCAAGAAACAAGGATACAATAATTATTATGTATAAGATGGGGCCCGTAAATGATAGCGTTCAGTTGACGCACATATATAACTTGGTGAATTCTGTGGTGAGTGGGGATACTTAGATGGGCCATGGAGTTAGTTAACTAGTTAGTAAATGGACTATTTCATTGGGATATAGAGGGTTATATCATGTTATATCCCCAGTTACTAACTAGTTAGTTAATCCATCTTAATCCCATGGCCCATCGAAGTATAGCTATAGTATTCATGGGGTGAAACTCAACCAACAAACATCGATGGCCTCACCTTGTACCATCTGGGCCATGTCGAGCCATGGCCAGGCCGTCGCCACGAAATTCACCACGACTTCGTGTCACAATGTAGGGAACGGTTCTTGCCGCATTTGCTTGCCAAAAAGCTACCTTTTTTGAGTTCAAAAAAAAAACAAGGTGGTGATGGTGTGAATCCTCTACTTTTCGCATTTTTTGTTCCGCCAAAAACTCACAGAGTCACAGCCTCGCAGGGCATGTGACGTGACCTGCAGTCACCATTTGGTGATTTCACAAGAGTGGTCCCCCAGTGATGCTGTCTATGTTCTACATTGTTGCCGTAAGCCCATTCAATTTCACCTATCATAAAGCACCATGAACCCCAGTGGCAGATAGTGGCAGTAGAAGTCCCAATGGTATTTCTTGGTTCAAACAAATCCATCTCTACTCATATCTACCCATAATCAGCGACTTGCATCATCATAAACCATAAAGCCCCAGTTCCATCAGAGTTATCTTCACCAACGCTACGCTAAGGATGGTGCTTGCACGCCGCGCCCCAACCGCAGGTAGCCCCGCGTCAACAACGCCGAGGGACAAGTGCTCGTGTTCCTGGGCTCCAAGAGTTGGGATTTCTTGGGATAAGATGATCTGGTTGGTGGGAAATCACCATTTTTAACAGGTAAATCAACGATTTCTATGGCAATTTTCAATAGCTATTTTGACATAACCAGAGGGTATGATGGATTATGAAAGATATGACTTCCTCAGTTGGGGTTACGACATTCCCAACTGAATGGAAAGTCATACAATTCCATGGTTCCAAGCCACCAACCAGTGATCTTGTTCGTTGCATGTTGGATACGTTTGGTATCTACATTGGAATGTAAAGATTGGATAAGATTGGCACATGCTTTTCGCAGTGGATCCAAACCACATGCCATCAGCTTTTGCAGTTGACGTTTGCGGGTTGAAGTGGTTGAAGGTGCCTCAAGACAGGGCTAAGAGCCTGATGAAAAATGAATCCCTGTTGGGCTGCTCATTTTCAGGGGCTCATTTTCAGAAATTATGGTGGGTGAACTCTCGATTTTTCATGGTGAAAAGGGTGAGTTCTCACCATCTTCGATCATTTTTCATTGCCTTTAAATTTCCATGAGCTCACATTCAAGCGGCATTTTTCTGTATATAAATCCTCAGTTTTTAATTCCTATGACACCACCATTTTCTCACACTTACCCTCTGGTAAACTAACATAACTATGGAAAATCACCATTTTTAATGGGAAAACCCGCTAAATGTGCCATTTTCAATAGCTATGTTAAATTGCCAGAGGGTACCCATTCCCTTAAAAATCCTGTGAACTTGCCATTTTTTGATGCTGACAGCCAGGCGTCTGATGTCAAACTGGGCACAGTGACGTGGAAGAGCTCAGCGCTGAAGGTGACACCGCTGGAGTCCTGTAATTTAACGACTTTGGATCTGGGTCAGGTCTAGATTTATAATCTATATAAGCTATATATCATCATATAAATATATCATATATATATATATCATATATATATCATATATCATATAAATATCATATATATATATATATATCATATATATATACATATCATATATATATCATATATATATATATCATAAATATATATATATATATCATATATATATATCATATATATATATCATATATATATATGATATATATATGATATATATATATAACATAGATATATATATCATATATATATATATATCATATATATATATATATCATATATATATATATACATTGTAGCAAGTAGATAGAATATGGCATGTTCAAAGATATTCTCATTTTAGTGAGGTTCTTCTGAAATTTTCACATTCAATCTACTCCAGACGATCAGCCCACCTAGGTATACCCAGGTCAAGAAATTGCACAACTGAGGTGTTTTTTTTGAATGGGCATAGTCATGGGAAAAGCTTACCCCCATAAGATACACCTATATCTATCACCTTTTAAGCTATGGTGAAGCATATCCACCTACAACACTTCCAGTGCGCTTCCAGTTGCAGTCTGGTCTAGACACCAACGAATTTGGGACATTTTGTAAAAAATCTTCGAAATGGATGCTCGGTATCAGAGTAAGCTGATGTACACCTAGACCCTCCATACAAAGTTGTAATAATGTCATTGCCAATCAGCCGGATACCTTACAAAAAATGACAAATTCTTAGCTGGTTAGTTAGTAGATAATCCCATTGATACCAAAAGACGATTCAGGATTAGTCTGTACCGATCCAGTCGGTTAACCGAGATGTTTCTTGGTTACTTGGAGGGTCGCCCCGGCACATCCCTAGACCTAAACTGTTCCATGCGGGCATCGCTCTCCAATTTCAAGCTTAACAAAATGTTTTAGGTGCATCCGGGAAACAAAGACTTTTTGTTGCCACATCTTGAAGTTGACGATTTATAGATTTATATGACAGCATTGAATAATCATGAATAATCCATATGTTATATAATGTTATATATTAATTGAGATTTTGAAGAACTAGTTCAAACTTATGTACAAGGTGCTGGCTTAACTCTTGGGTTTTGTTGGTTGGTATAACTATAGTCAATAGGCCTTCAAGAAACAACTACTCGGGGGACCACCGTTGTTCCATAGGATTTTGCGAGGTTCCACGAAGTTCGGGATACCAACCATTCTCGACCACAAAAAAACTGTGTTTCTGAATACTCGGAACTCTAGATAGATAATCTGGATGGTGGTTGAGCCTCCCCCTCTGAAAAAATATGAGTTCGTCAGTATGATTATTATTTATTATTCCCAATATATGAAAAATGTTCCGCACCACCAACCAGTAATAGTATTGTATCCAGCGTGTTGGTGTGCAATTTATGCCAACTATCTTTGGAGCAATTCATCCTGATGATGATCCACTGATTGCACTGAACCCAAAACTATCATCATCAGTTGTGATCATGATCCCTAATGGGGTTGAAGATGATCAACAAAAAATGCACCAGCTGATCATAGCTGATCACTCTATTCAATTATTCAGATCATCATTAACTGGTTGGTGGTTTTAACCATCTTGAAAAATATGAAAGTCAATGGGAAGGATTATCCCATATATGAAATGGACAATAAAAAATGTTCCAAACCACCAACCAGTTAAAGATCATATACCCAATGTCTATTCATATGTTTGTTGTTCACCCCTCTGATTTTTCATATCTGAAAGCCACCCTTGTAGTAGTTTCTCCGTCCTTCATATCCACATGCAAGGACCTTGCTGGTGCATTGGCTTGAGAGGACTCGGCGATGAAGTCCTGGGAATAGCCATGACTTTGTCTGAAAATGGTGGGGGAACAATATACAAACTTCAGGGTTTCTTATGGTTCAAAACATCATCTTTTCCGATTGACATTGGCCACTAGTTAGTGTATATATATATATATAATGTGTATATATAAATACACCATCTCTCTCTCTCTCTCTGCATCGCTGTCAGGTCACCCTGCCCTAGCTGTGCTAGAAAAACCATATTATTCCATATATTCTAGAAAAACCATATGTTTGATCCAACAACCACTGCAAATGGTCCTAACATATGAAAAACACTGATGATTCCATGTAAAGAATCATATATTCCTGGTCCCAAAAAATCATACCACTAGTGATAATATACCATATATGTTTCACACATATATATATATATATTGGTATGATTATATATTCCATATATATTCCATATATATTCCATAAATAAATTCTATATGTTATGGTCCTATGATTCACTGATGATTCACTGACCTTCGCACATCCAAAACTCAGTCATTTACCCAGTCCGATGAGTTTCCCCAGCTGCGGACTGATTTTTTACAGACTTTTTTTGGGGAAAAAACGAAGGGAAATCATGGGATTTTACATGATTTTACCATGGAATTCTTGGGGAAAAGCATGGTTTTTCTGGTTTTTCTGGTGGTCAGATTTTCAGATGCTCCATGGGAAGTAGCTCACTGTTTCCTCACTGTTTCCACGAAATATTCCATGGTAAAAAGCCCATGGTTTTTCTGGTGGTCAGATTTTCCCCTCAGAGTTCACCTTCACTATTCACCAATGGTCGGATTTTCCATGATTTTCCAGCCATGGCAATAAAAAATGGTCTCATGGCCGGAAAAATGCGTTGGAGTCAGCTGATTCGAGGCGGTTAGGATTCACCATGACAGAACAACTGTGGGTTTTCCGAAACCACATCCATAGTAAATGATAGTTAACCCTGGTTAATATACTGTTACTGGTGGTTAATATTAATGGTTATTATATGGTTAATGATGGTTAACAACATACTCTGGTTGGTGGTTGAGCCTGAGCCTACCCCTCTGAAACATATGAAAGTCAGTTGGGATGATGACATTCCATTCCCAACTGAATGGAAAGTCATAAAATTCATGTTCCAACCCCCCAACCAGTTACTTGATCCGATGTTAGCCAGGTATGAGATATGATACTTGTGTTTCCAACATGGATGTTTTTGATCGGATTTTAGCCGGAGATCTTACCAACAAACCGAGGGTACACGCCGGTTCTGTCAGGATTTGTTCGCGCAAATGTGGGCCCCTTCCGGGGTTTCGATGCTCGAGGGGGAAGGGATCATCGAAAATCACCAGGCTTTGAGGCTAACACTATCTGGTTGGTGGTTTCAACCCCTCTGAAAAATATGAAAGTCAGTTGGGATGATTATTCCCAATATATGAAAAAATAAAAAATGTTCCAAACCACCAACCAGCTATACTCTTTGCGACTTGACTTGCCCTCATTGATATATATATATATAGTGGTGTGATCGCGCCTGGGGCCCACACAACTTCTCGTGAACTGCTCGAAGTACAAGCTGTTACCAGTGGGAAACCCGAAAACCCAATCATAATCCATTTGGGGATATTTGGGGATGGTCTATAGCATCCATTTATGGTGATGACTTGGGGATGGTTTATTCATTCTGGTTTACCACATTACTCAACTTGAATCTCTTGTTGGTATGTTTGAAAAGCAGTTGGCAAGATTTGCTTGACCGAAACCAGGTCTCTCCTCATAGGGGTTCCTTTGGTGGCTTATGTGGCTACCATTTCTCCCACGAATCAATCAATGTAAGTTCCCTTTTGTATACTTCTTGGCTCCTTTTGTAAGTCTTGAAGCACTCCGACGTATTCAAAACCCTCCCGATTCTTGTTGGTTGTATCCTGCTGCTCGCTAGTACTGCAAACAACACAACAATTAAATTTGTCCAAACGATGCTGGTACAGAAATGAAGACAAAGTCATGAATCGAAGATAGCCTCTGGTAATTTCACAATCTAACGCTATGGAAGCCATGGCCATAGAAAAAACGATGATTTACCCATCAAAAATGGTGATTTCCCATTTTCTGCAGTTCGCCGGTTGGTTTTCTGGAGGCCTTTCAACTTTCAACACCCAGCAGCAGCTCGGTCACCCATCGGTGACTCTATCGGTCACCGAGGGTCAGTGAATCGCTGTTGATCTTGAGGAGCAATGTAACGTGAGAAGAGCATCCTGAGGCGATCCGATCTGAAGCCGGAGGCCAAGGAGACCAAGGCCATGTCACAAAGGTAGCCAGTTGTGATTAATTTGGTGGGTTTATTCGAATGACAGGATAACTTAATTACTATAGTAACTATAATAACTATATTAACTATAGTAACTATAGTTATTATAGTTACTAGGGTTACTATAGATCTATAGTTGCTATATATAGTTACTATAGTTATATAGGTGGGATGATCCTCCCCTCGTATGTCAAGTCACGTCGCGACGCGAGGTCGTTATAAGGTCACCACGGGTGTTGCTCGATGATTGTCCCCTAAAAAGAGCCGGAGATTTGCGATCTAGGTGCTTGGCAGTTCTTATAACATATTACGGCTATTTAACTTCATATCCCATAGGATCCATGTATGCTATATATGGTAACATTTACCATCAATATATCCCAAATGTTAGCATATATATACCATACATGGATCCTATGGGTATAAGTTATACGAACAGTTCATACATTATAAGTTTAATTTCCATAGCAGTTGATCGATGATGTACCCAAACGGTAACCATTACGCGTTTCTTTGGAGGTGTCTTAAAATGGAGGTACCAGTCCTGGATGGTTTATCATAGGATGTTTTTCTCGAACATGCAATCAAATTGGGGGAAATTCCATTCCCAGGGCAAATTGCCAGAGGTTTTTTGGGTCTCGTGGAAATAAAAACACTAAAGTGAATCTAATTGCTTACTATAGTAACTATAGTAACTATATATAGCAACCAGTGAATAAAACGCCAGAGTTGATCAACGTCTCGTTTGCTCCGGTGTTGGGTGCACCTATTGGGGGTCCAAAGATCCCTCGGTGTTCGAAGTTCGCTGAAAATCACCTGGGATGTCAGCCATCCCAAGTCTGTTCCAAAGGCTCAAATCAGGGATTACTCTCTGGTAAACATACAAAAAAACTACGGAAAATCACCATTTTCAATGGATAAATCAACGATTTCTATGGCCATTTTCAATAGCAAACTGTTAGTTTACCAGAGGGTATTGGAAGGGACACAGGGAAAAAAACACCTGAGCACAACATCCAAAATTCCCGGAGTAGCCTCCGGGATTACCCCGGAAAGCCCATCGTTGGTGGTGTCAATGCCCATGAAAAAAGGCCTGTATGCTCATAAATGGGAGTATCATCCCAAATGAGACGCAACATAACAACACAGATTCCAAAACGCCGACCAGTGACCCTAGTGAAAAACGATGAAAAATCATGGTTGCCGAAAATGATGGACACATTTTAGGGGTAAACTCGACATCTATGTTGACAATGCTCACAAGTTTACAGGAGGCTATTTCCTGATTCCATAGGACTACCCCCTGGTAATTTAACATTTGAAAATTGCACATTTATACTTGATTTACCTATTAAAGATTAGTAAAGATCGTGATTTTCCATAGTTTTGTGTATGTCTACCTTGGTTGGTATGTGGCTGATCCATCTATTTCATGGCTAAACCAACTATAAATCACACATTTTCATACATGTTCCATAGTTGTTTGTATGATTACAATTGATTTACCTATAAAAGATTGTGATTTTCCATAGTTATGTTAGTTTACTATGGACAATCACCATCTATGTCATGGCTAACCCAACGAACTAAATGGCTATTTTCCATATAATATAGGACTTTTGGTATGTTTATAATTTTTTCCGGGCAAACAAGCAACCCATCCAGCGTATTGGCGTTGTTGGAGCCAAAGTGACCTCAGTCGGCTCCGCTGGAGGTGAAGCTGCTGAAGCTGCCGGAACAAAAACTGGGTCCCTGGGCCACAAAGGGAAACGGTCAAACATCCCCATTGATATTTACATGTATGAGAGAGAGAGAGATATATATATATAGATAATAAATAACTTAATCTAATATATACACACATATATATATATATATACACCTTTTTATATGTACTTAAATAAATAAATAAATATATATATATACCAATGGAAACAACATCATATATAAAACGGAATTAGCAATGCAATCATTGGATATGATTAGCATGAATAAGGATCCCGTACCCCTAATGCAAAAAAAACACAATATCCACTGGTTGGTGGTTTTAACCATCTTGAAATATATAAGTTCATCAATGGGAAGGATGACATCCCATATAAAACAAAATTCATGTTTGAAACTACCAACCAGCAATATGATCCAATATCCAAGGTTTCGACAAGGCGGGAAGGTGATTTCAGCAAACATTTGGACCATTGATCTGGGCAAGTTACCCTCTGGTAAACGTTTACAGTGTGCGAACTTGAAAATTGCCATTGAAATCGTTGATTTACCAATTGCAAATTGTGATTTTCCATTGTTTTTTGTATGTTTACCAGAAGGTACTTTTCCTTCAGCCCATCCCCAACAAAAAAACGAGTGGATCACATATTCACCCCCGCATAAATAGGGCTGGAAAAAAAATGAAATTTGTGTGCCAAGAAAAAAACACGCAGATGTGTTGGGTCCCATGGTATGGCAGTTGTCAGGTCGATAGATTGACCCAAATATTAACTAATGTGGTATAAAGGTATAACCAATAACAAACGACTATCAGTTTGTGGTCTATTGTTGTGTATACACCGGAGGAAAACAACAAAATCACCGGTTCTACTGATCATTGGCTGCCAAATGTTGTTTCTTGATCAATCCCGGATTCCAGAATTTTTCATCAGCAAATAAATCATCTATAAATCATAGAATTGGATTATGGGAAAATTTTAACCGGAAAGCCCTATATGTGATGGTAAAAACCCATGGGTTTCCGGTTAAGATTTTCCCCAACAAACCAATCCAGTGAGTAAATGGACCATTTCCCCATCAGCCGAAGTTCTGGCAAGGTACACATTAACATGTCCAACAGCGAGCGTGACGGGGTTTTGATTTTCAAGTCATGCGTCAAACGCACCTCGGTTGAGTGCCGGCGCGAGGACAGCTCGCTAGCAACCCGAAGATTGGGAGTGCCCGGCGTGCCCAGTGAGTTTCCAACTGGGTTTCTTCATCTACCCCTCTGGTAAACATACAAAAAACTATGGAAAATCATCATGTTTAATGGGTAAACCATCTATAAATGGACCATTTTCCATGGCAAACTGGTAGTTTACCAGGCCGGGTACCCAGCCATGTTTGATCCCCGGCAATTTGGTGAGGCCTTGCGAGACTCGGATCTGTGTTGATGGCATCATGGGTGATATAAACAAAGTCCATATGGGTTGACCCACCAAGAAACCACAGAAGTATATCAACATATATGTATATATAAATACATGTATGTCAAATATGTGTATACTATACAGTATACATATATGCATATATATTTATACACATATACAGTACATACAGTATATAACAGTATATAACAGTATATATCTTTGTAGATGTGCGTGTGTGGCATACAAATATCTTGCACCTATTTCACCCGCGAAACCTCCTGGTGACGCAGCCAGGCACGAAGGCATCACATGTCACGCTCAGCAAACGTTGTGCTGCCCCGCCCTCCTGTTCCTGAGGGGTCGGGGGTCAAATTGTCATCCCATCTGCAAAGAACCTTCGGAAATCAAACATGGCTAGCTGTTTTTTTCCATCAAAAAACGGGTGGTTTTAATGGGAACATGATCTATACCCTTTGGTAATTTAACATAGCTATTGAAAATGACCATTTATAGTTGACTTGCCCAGTAAAAATGGTGATTTTCCATAGTTTTTTCCCCACCTGCCAGGTGAGGGTTGTTAGATTTTATGTCAGTTGCCTCCTCCTGCCTCCTCCTGCCTCCTCCTGCCTCCTCCTGCCTCGTCCTCCTCCTCCTCCTCCTCTCCTCCTCGTCGTCCTCCTCGTCCAACTGCGACCCGCGATCCACAGTGTTCTCTGTCCGGACCTCAACCACGACCATCCACAGTGTTCCCTGCCGGACCTCAACCACGACCATCCACGTCAGTGTGCCCTGCCGGACCTCAACCATGACCATCCACGCCCAGTGTTCCCTGCCGGACCTCAACCACGACCATCCACGCCCAGTGTTCCCTGCCGGACCTCAACCACGACCATCCACGCCCAGTGTTCCCTGCCGGACCTCAACCGCGAGTATCCCCGCCCAGTGTTCCCTGCCGGACCTCAACCACGACCATCCACGCCCAGTGTTCCCTGCCGGACCTCAACCGCGAGTATCCACGCCAAAAGATATGCCACATAGAGTGCCAGAAGATATGCCAGATAGAATGTTAGAAGATATGCCAGATAGAATGCCAGAAGGTATGCCAGATAGAATGCCAGATAGAATGTCAGCTAGAATGCCAGAAGATATGCCAGATAAAGTGCCAGAATGTTTGCCAGATAGAATGCCAGCAGATTTGCCAGATAATATGCCAGAAGATATGCTAGATAGAATGCCAGATGGAATGCCAGAAGATTTGCCAGATAATATGCCAGAAGATATGCCAGATAGAATGCCAGATGGAATGCCAGAAGATATGCCAGAACATATGCCAGAAGATATGCCAGAAGATATGCCAGAACATCTGCCAGAAGATATGCCAGAACATCTGCCAGAAGATATGCCAGGTAGAATGCCAGAAGATATGCCAGATAGAATGCCAGATCGAATGCCAGAAAATATGTCAGATAGAATGCCAGAAGATTTGCCAGTAACAAAATATATAAATGTCATGGTGGGGATCACACGAAGTAAAGTAATTGTATGTTTATCAGAGGGTAAGTGGAGGATTTTGGTCAACATCAATGACCCTCAGGACATTCGGATTTGACCTGCAGTTGGGAGATAAGCCCTACCATCGTTCTGCTATCGCAAGCCACTGATGGTGGGAATCCACACTCCCCAAGTGGCGCTCGCGACTTCTCCAAGTTTCTGCTTCTTGCACTTCTTTCACCTTGGCCTCCAATTCGAGGGTGGCCACTGCAGCGTGCCGCTCCTGCGGAGCGTGCTTTTAAGCGCTTAAGTTACGGAAGTGAGGCTTGGTGGTTGACCTGAGAAGATGCTGGGAAAATGCTGGGTACCCTCTGGTAAACTAACATAACTATGGAAAATCACAATTTTTCATGGGAAAATCCACTAAAAATGGTGATTTTCCATAGTTGTGTTAAATTACCAGAGGGTAAGTGAAGTGTTTGTTTGAAAATGCAGGGAAAGCCACCGACATCCCATGATGAATCATTGTTTTCCATCGTTTTAGTGATGAAATTCTGCTATTTTGGGGCGACGTGCCCAGCTTTTCATGGAATATGGCTTTGAATGGGGAACACATACTTAACATTATCATCATATGTATATATATATATATATAGGGACACCCAATTCTTGGACAACCCCCTATGAATAATTCTTTCTACAACACATAAACATCAAAGACACATCCCAAACCTATGGATGCCTGGGGTGTTTGTCCTATTATTTTCTCAGGATTTTTCCATGCTTTGCATTTTTCTGGATCTTGAGATATCTTGAGACTCAGCCGGCCATGGCTAGCCACGCGGCACACCTTGGTATCCAGGTTGGTGACCACCAAAATCATCAAAGCCACCGCCACCATCTCGCCGATCATCGAGAACAGCAGCCTGCGAGAACCGAGATCATTCGTGGCCCCCAAGAAGATCAAGAAACTGATGAAACAACATGTATATATATATACACATGTATACATAATATATATATATATATATGTATGTATATATATAATACACATTTCCGATTTCCCAATGTTTTTTTTTACAATTTATGTTTGACATACCTTTTTGGAGGTTTCCGAAAGTGGGAAGTGGCGCGCTTACATTGGCATCATGGTTGTTATTTGCTGGATGTTGTTCCATCTGGAGGTAACCAACCTGACACATCGATGGCAACCTAGCAATGAACATGTGTTGGCCTTCCAGAGTTGGAAGGAAATGATAATGTGCGATGATTTGCTGTTTGATTATCCCAACTTCAATGAGAATTCAACAATATACCCTCTGGTTATGACATGTTATGACTAACATAGCCATGGGAAATGGCCCATTTATATCCATTTATAGATGGTTTACCTATTGAAAATGGTGATCTTCCATGGCGAATTGTTAAATAACCAGATGGTAACAGTTGATCACTTATTGGTATGTTTAATAACTGTTAACATACATGTCCACGCGCTTAACAGTTGAGGTCTGTACCTATGGCAGTAAACACCTTCATTGATGGATCAACTTTGCCTGGGGTAAACATACAACAAACATGTGGAGAACCCATGGTTTCCCGTTCGGAAAATGACCTACTGGTTGGTTTTCCACGTCTATGTTCGTTTACAGGAGTGTAACTAGAATAACATAGAATAATCATATATAGCCATATAGCTGCAATATAGCTATTGCGCACACACACAAATATTTGATGGTTTTGCATGGTGTGTTTGCAAAAACAACTGCGGTTATCAGTATATAGTAGAAATGAAAGGACGGGGTCAAACTTGGACACCTACTTGGAAAAGATATCAAGTAATGTCAACCCTGGATTAATAAACCCCTTTTACGGTTGTTTAATTGGGGGGGATACCATTTAAGTATCAGATGAAATGACTAGTGGGGGAATACCCCCCTAATTAATAAACCATGGTTTATTAATCCGGGGTTGAAATTATCAATTTACAGGAAACCTTTTTTTGTTCCGCATGAAATAATGGGTTTTAAGCTTTGCCATGAGGTGGACCGTGCTTCCATTCTGGATTCCGCTACATTCGGTGAACAAGGTGAGGTCGCTTGACGCACAGTTCATAGTGAATTCTGTGGTTGGTTTCAGGGGATATAACGAACTACTGTGGATGGAAGAAATCCTGCACCACCTGGGATGGTAGAAAGCCTATAAAATAATGGGATAAACCACCTATTAACTGGTGCAGGATTTCTTCCATCCACAGTAGGTAATGGCTTTATAAACCAATTACTATCACTTGGGGGGCATCACCTTACTTCAAACTTCCACCTTTAGATCTGAACATAGAACCCAGACAAACATACGTTTTCATATGCGATTTTCCTGGTAAACAGTCAACATGGTTTGGTTCCATCTTTGTTTTCAACGGGATTTAATACAGCTGGCTAACGTGCAAGCAGTCACCAATCTGAAGCAAAGTCATGTTTTGTTGTTTCCCCCTTACTAACCACTTGCGTCATTACATACTTGTTAGGTCGTTATAGTTTATCCATACATACGCATACACACACGCATATATATATATATATATATTAATATACATATATATATATATATTGTTATATTTATACATATAATGTAAATATATATATGTATATCTGTGTATATACATAAGTCATGAGTATTGCACATGTGTTTAATGTCCCATCAATCAATTCCTATTCTTCAACCCCATTTGGCCCCTCTATAGGTAAATCTGTCAAAAGCTCTCAGCATCTGAGTCTCGTCTCACCTCTCTACCGGAGCATTGGGTGCATTGAGCCAGTGCGAGATCACATAGAAAGGTGCCAGGAAAATGTTGACCTGGCGGGTCGGGACCTTGGGACTCTCCAGAGTTGTCGCCATGAAGTCTAGTCGGGACCGGAAACAAATTCTTACTGGTGCTTGGTAGGGAATGGATGGGAATGGGGGAATGGGATTGTTATTACTAGTGATTATGGATCATTCCCTCATTCCCTACTAAGCACCAGTAAGAATTTCAATATCCAAAGCAAGGAACGTGGATACATCAATATATATATAATTATATATATATATGCGCATACACAGCACATGGTGTAGATTCAATATTCAAAACACTCTACACTCTTCAGTTGGGTAGACAATCAAAAAAATATACTTTCTTAGTAGCGTGGCTAGTCGGAACCATCGCAAAAATCTCTGCAGTTTCGTGGGCCAATGAGATGATTTGTCCAGAGACTTGTACTTATGCCACGTTCAAACTAGGCCTAGGAAAATTCAACATATTCCGAGCCAAAAATCATCCCACCAAAAAACAACACCTTTCAAACATGCCAGTTTTTTTTGGGGGGGGATTCCATGTGACTTTTGTTTAAACATGTACCTTGGCACCAGCCACAAGCGTGAATTTTCCGCGGCCTTGTTGCTGATCTGGGAGTTTGTGAAGGTGAAACAAAGCATTCGGGCCATATAACCTGAGGTGATTGAACGGTTCCCATCCCCGGTGAACCTGGGTGAAACTTGAGAGTTCTTAGTGACTAAACCCTCTGATACCCGGCCTGGTAAACGTTTACAGTTTGCGAACTTGAACATGGCCCAGTCGAAATCGTGGATTTACCCATTGATAGCATGGTGATTGATAGCTATTGAAAATGGCCATTTATAGTTGATTTGCCCAGAAAAAATGGTGATGTTCCATAGTTATGTAACAGTTTACCAGAGGGTAACAGTTTGCGAAAAGAAAGCCACGGCCTATGATCGCCCATGACATGGTTTGATTTACCTTTGTTATTTCAATTGATGACTGCTTGGTGGTGCAATAACCATCTTGAAAAATATGAAAGTCAATGGGAAGGATGACATCCTATATATTATGGAAAATAAAACACGTGCCAAACCACAAACCAGATGATTTTCCAGTTCGATATTTGTAGCTTTACCAGATGGTTAAAAAGGAAATTCCCAAGCCCAAAACACGAAGAATCTAAGTGGCGGAAGCCAGCAAAATAACACATATTCCCCTGTAGATTCCCCATTCGTAGTGGATTTCCCATGGGGAAAATGCAACTTAACAACATAAACTTACCAAATCGAGGTGAAATACCCTCTGGTAAACTAACAGTTTGCGAACTTGAACATGGCCATTGAAATAGTGAGTATTCCCATAATAGCATGGTGGATCTTTCCATCGTTTTTTGTCACAGTTTACCAGGCCGGGTAAATGTGATAATGTCAACCCTGGATTGATTTCCACCATTCAATGGATTGGTTTAAGGAAAATTCCACAGGAAAGCCCTGCATTTTTTCCCTTAAACCAATCCAATCAACCATTGTTTTTCGAAACACATTCGAGGGGTATCGCCCAGTAATTTCATCTGATACGTCTGGAGACCATGGCAGACCCCCCATGTTTCAACAGCCCGCCCTGGGGTTTGTGAATCCAGAGTCGACATTAACATCTCCAATGGAAGGAGAGTGATATATGATAATAACTATACACTATATAGGATTATATAGGTAATTCATAAGTCCCTATATGTGTTATTACATCATCATTATCTCCAGTCAACTATCTATCTATCTATCTTTCTTTCTATCTATCTATCAATCTATCTACCTATCTACCTATCTACCTATCTACCTATCTGTCTGTCTGTCTGTCTATCTGTCTATCTGTCTATCTGTCTATCTATCTATCTATCTGTCTATCTATATATATATACATATATATGGTACTATTATGTTAAGTCCCATAATATCCTTTGTGTTATATATATATATATATATGTATAGAGTCATTGCCCCCAGTAAACATTTTCCCAGTTGTATACGGGACTCAACGATGAAATGATCATTGACCACATCACTAAGGTCTTGGCAACCTCAATCCCTGCCGAGAAGTTTCAGCAAAAGAAAGTGCATCCCGGTGGTCATAACCAGGGCAACCAGGGACCAATAACCCACAAACAAAAACAATGGAACATACATGTCATACCATGTCATACCATGTCATACCATGTCATACCATGTCATACCATGTCATACCATGTCATACCATGTCATACCATGTCATACCATGTCATACCCCACTTATAGATGGAACAAACCTCATGATTTACGGGTTCTTTTGGGGGTGAAGCACCTACGATTACTGAGATTCACGTTTTCAGTCCCAGGAGAGTCAGGAGAGGGTCAAAAACATCCCTAAGCCGTTCCGGCTTTCCCCAGTGCAAGGCCTGTAACTCGCCAATTTCGGGATGCAACTTTGAACAAGTAACATCAAATAACATAAAAAACAAATAACATCCCAGCATTTATCTATGTCATATTATGTCATTAGGCTCCCAACAAGCATCCCCTTTAAAGAAGGGATGCTTGTGGATGCTACCCCTCAGTCACATATTTCAATGGGGCCCAAGCCTGTCTGAAGGTTGGCCCGAAATCAAAACTCCATGGGCTCTCGGAACAAGTCACAGGCTGGCATCAGTTCGCGAGGCATTCCCAAGGTGGCTCCGAACCTTTATTTTTTGGGCACATCGATGCACACCCGGGGCAGCTGTAAATGTTTATGGAAAATGTCAACAGCACATACCTATTATAATGAGGATTTATGATTTGACCATCAAAAAGAAGAATGGAACCAGCAAAATTTGGAATTTAGACTATCCATAACACATATTTACACCGTAATGACACATAATATATATATATGCATAAATACATAGTTTGCAAGGTGATTAGAGGGAATAATTTGCAGGGCGGATCCGGGCGCATATTCTTCCAAGACCCAGAAATCCATGTGTGATTAGATGGTGAATACTTTGAGGTTCCCTTTTTACACGTTTGACAATTAGTGGGAGGCAACAATTAGTGGTTTAGCAATTACTGTTTAGAGTTTAGACATATTTAAAACTATATAGAGGTTTGTCTTAAACAAATAGGGGAGCACCACATTACATCCACTTGTTAAACATCATAGGCCAGTCTAAAATTGCAATGTTGTGGGGCGTAGTCCGGCATTTTCAGACAAACCCAGTTGGAGATAGTTTCGCAGTCTACTATCGTCTACTGGATACCCTCTGGTAATTTGTTACATAGCTATTGAAAATAACCATAGAAATAGTGGATTTTCCTATTAAAACTCGTGATTTTCCATCGTTTTTTGTATGTTTACCAGATGGTATTCACTTTGGCGGAGTCCTGTCAAATCTCTTGAAGAATGGCCAGGATCATACTTCATCACTCGATTCCTGGAGATCATGGGGGATGAACCAGCGGTTCCTCAGCCACATTCCTCTATTTCCTCTGTCACTGGATTGGTTTAAGGGAAAATTTACAGGAAACCCATGGGTTTTTACCATCAAATATAGGGCTTTCCGGTTAAAATTTTCCCATCATCCAATTCTATTTCCTCTGGTTCTGACTAACATTGCTATTGAAAATGGCCGTAGATATAGCTGAATTTACCCATGAAACATGGTGATTTTCCAGTTCGCTATGTAACAGTTTACCGGAGGGTATTTCCTCTAGACAAGAAGACAGTTCTCTTGGATCTTTTCGTAGAGGACTCAACCGTTCTGACACTTTGGCAAATTGATGCGAGTCAACCAGCACGCAAAATGGAAGTGGTCTCGAACTTCATGTGAAAGTCAAATGGACATTGGGATCGACTGATTCCAACAATTCTAAGGTTCTAGGTGATAAACATTAATAAACTATGAATCCTCCCTCAGCTGGAAAATGTCCTCCGGTAATCAAACATAGCAATGGAACATCCATTATTCACTATTCATAGATGATATTCACATTTAAACATCCATTCAACGGGAATTTCAAGATCCTAAAATGAAGGTTCTGTACCATATTTCTGGCCATATTTTGGTGATATTCACTAAAAATAGGCCTAAAAAATAGGCCCAAAATATATGGAATCGGTACCTCCATTTTAGGATCCTTTTTGATTCCCATTGATCCATTTACCAGGCATTTTCCATCCATCTACGCTTGAAGACAACGGATTGTCACCAACGCCCAGGATGATTGCCCTGTAACTGACCAACCCTATGGCAGTGGCCATGATGAACCAATGGAAAAAAGGTACCCTCTGGTAAACAAACATAGCTATTGAACATGGCCATTTATAGTTGATTTACCCATGAAAAATGGTGATTGTCCATAGTTGTTTGTATGTTTACCAGAGGGTAATAGCTGAACGGAGACTAATGATATCCTCATGGCAAACATCAGATTGGGATCGGGCTGGGCAATCATCATATGCAAAATTGTGCATTCATTTGCATTCTACAAAGGAAAATTGATGATTGGCTGACTATTGGTTGGTTATTGGACGGATAAACTTGTCCACTTTGTGAACCTTACCCATTGGTTAATTAATCACTCAAATAATCAATGTAAGAATAAACTAAAATCTATTCTCACACACCTGGGTAGTGACCGGATTATGTTCAATGAGAATTCCGGCCGCCCTGGCTTTTGCGGGCTTGGGGAGAAAAGAACGAAATGCCTTAGCGAAACTTCCAAGTGCAAGATCCATCAAGATCCTGATTTAGAGCCTGAACATCACCAACCCACCAAACTATCAATGTCTAAACATGTCTAAACATGTCTAAACAACAATATGAACCAAAAAAACACGGTGTGCTCCTCTTTTTGTTGGACTTAAATCGACCCATTCTTCTTTCCAGCTTGGTCCCAGGTTGGAAAAACCCGTGGAAAAACCCGTGGCCGTGGCTCAAAACCGGACTTCCCCAGCTCCGAGTAGCACCAACAAACTCATAATGGTCATGTCTCCTTGGACGGAGACAAATCCCATCCCGATGGACCGATGGACCGTGGAAAACCAGGCACTGAGAAACTGAGAAACATCAATGGGTTCATTGTATGGCTTATTGTATTTAAAACAACATGTTGGATATAAGTGATAAACATCTCAAAATATTCTGATTTTTTTACCGCCGCTGATTGTCTGATGCTGACAAACATGGCTAACATGGCCATTCTATGTCGTGTTTCTGATGTTTTTTATTCTTCAAAAAGAATCTGGTTGTCTCTCGGATTTGCCCTCTGGTAAACTAACATAACTATGGAAAATCAACATTTTCAAACATGTTCAATGGGTAAATCCACTATAAATGGCAATTTTCAACAGCCATTTTGACATAACCAGAGGGTATCTGAATTTTCCTATCAATATGTAGCTCTTTGGCTCACCACCGCTCCGATTTTAGCGATTTCTTACGCCCCACATCATCGCACCAAGGGTGAGAGAGTATCAAAATTGGCACCCCTCTATCAACAAACCCTCTGGTTATGTCAAAATGGCTGTTGAAAATGGCCAGTTATAGTGCCATTGAAAATTGTGATTTTGGGGGCGTTTTGGTTGTTTTTTTCGGATTGGTGGTTGAAAAACCAAGAAAAAACGTAGTAATTACTGAGGGATGATCATCATAGGTCATAGGGCCTATAGGGGGTTTCTTAAGTCATAGGGGATCTCCAAGTCACAATGGCTTTCAATACCACAATGGTCATCCATGACTTGGATGATTTGGGTCACATGCAAATATGGTTGAAAAGAAACAATGTATGAATTAGCCTCCAGTAAATTAACATAGACCCTGGTAGATAGGGGTTGGAAGATTAGTTTCCTCTAAAAGTTGGTGATTTTCAGGGTCGAACTGTTAATTTACCGGAGGATATATGAAACTACCAATCAGCTCATCAATTTTGTCAAATTCTTTTGCTTACTGGGCCGCATCCCGAGTCAACGATTTTTTGATGACATGTTTTTACTTCACCTCAGTCCTGTCCGCTAGCTCTATTGGGGTTCACCACATTTGACGCAGAAAACCACATTTACCTTTTGGCAATCAAACGTGGAAATGGGAAATTCCCTATACAATGGAGGTTTTAGTGGGAAAATCATCCATATATGAAGATTTTAACCCAGAATCAACTCAGAGCGAAAATAGCCAACATGAATCACACTGTCACTCTAGCATACTCATAATATATACGACATCATATACGGTAGGTTTTGACATCTTCAAGTTTCCCCTCTGGGTAATGAACCATGGCTTGCTGGACCTTCCTTCATTTTAGTTCGATGATTTCTGCATCACAATCGGTAAGCCTCATAGGATTTTTCACCATAAAATCCACCATCAAAGCCCATGAAATCCCAGTAAAACCTCGATATTTAGACCATGTTTAAACCCATTTTTTCAAGATGCAACTTACCCTCTGGTAATTTAACGTAGCTATTGAAAATGGCTATAGAAATAGTGAGTTTATACCCATTAATAGCATGGTGATTTTCCATATGTAAGAGTTTACCAGGCCGGGTAACCATCATATATCCCATTAAATCCCATTAAATCCCATTAAAATACCATATATCCCAACAACACGTTGCCGCCAACAGTTAGCGGCAAGCCTTTTTCGCCAGAAGTCGATTCAGCCTTTCGGGTGTGAGGTCGACCTCTGGATCCCCCATCCTGGACGACGGGGTGATGTGGTGGCCATTTTTCCATGCCATCGAAGCATCAATTTCCTGACGAACTATATCATTATTAGCTCGTTTTTTTTTAAGGGGTTTGTTCACGTATATGTCTAATTTATATATTTACACATAATCTTACTATATCACATATATATATATATTACAGATATATATATAACATAATATAATCTATACAGTCTATACAGAATATGCTGGTTGCTGCTTTCACCCCTGAAGAACCAGCACCCAGCTCTCTCTGAACATCTCCCGTCCTGCGCATGACGGTGGAACCAACGGAGACAGTCACGAAGAAACATTTACCTTGCTTGGATTTGTATAGGCCCCCGCAAATAAAAAACTGCTGACAAACAAACACATATTACCCTCTGGTATAACTCAGTTTAGGTGGAAACTAATCTTCCAACCCGTATCTGCCTGGGTCTATGCTAATTTAGTGGAGGGTAAGTTGATTGAATCCCATTACAGTAACATAGTAACTATATATATATATATAGTTACAAAATTACTTGCATTTGCTTACGGAACTCCCCCATCAACAAAAAACTATTCCCAAATATTCCCAACAAAGACTCCCCAGTCGTACTGGATTTTCCATTGGGAACAGCCCCCCATCGACTCGGCTCTGCCAATCTGAGTTAGATTCATCCATCTTGGGCAGCGAAAAGATGGGAAGACAACAGGTGGAGTTGTCCAAAAAAGGGTGGGAAAATTTCCAATCATACTGGGGGGAGATAGGGGGAATACAATCATATGCTTCCAATCTTGGATACCAAGAAAAGAAAACAACATGAAACAACAATAATAAATATTGCGCCATTGTATAATCTACGTTAAATGTACAAACATCATACTTATATATATATATATGTTTGTTTTGGATATTCTGGATGCTGCTCGATAAATAACTGGGCAAGGATATCATTGCCAATCAGCAATGCCTTCCTTTATGTTTGTTGTCTTTAAAAGGTCAGGCCGACAAAAACCCTGGTCAAAATGGCCATACAATACGGTTCGAGTACGCATCCGGTTGGTTTCCCCAGAAACATCCCAGCATCAACCTTAGATTGGTAAACTAACATAGCGAACTGGAAAATCACCATCTTGAAGTTCGGTAAATCAACGAACTAAATGGGCAATGTTCATGGCCGGTCGAGTCGATACCTTGGGACAATTCATATACGAACATGTCTAATTATATATATATACGTGTATATATATATATATGTATATATATATGTATATATATATATTTATACATATATATATATATAACTATATATATATATGTTATATATATATATATGCGAATATTATATATATATATGTGAATATTATATATATATGCCAGCCCCCCCAAAAAAAACTACCTTTGCCTGCTTGTAATGCTACACTACAACTCTTTTGTAACTATTATTGTTTGGGGGTACCATACGGAGAATCATTGACAAAATATGCTTAGTGAAAAACGGGCTCATAGATTCTAATGAAACAAAAACGGCACCCAAAAAAAAGTCAAACACATTTCAGTCACTGGAGACACTCTGAAAAGTCATCCAGGCTGCTGTTGATCATTGGTGGAGACACTCCGGTTGCCTGAAACACCTCAGAACATCTCGCAGCAAATTACTGGACACATTCCTGTTTCACCGAGGTTGCAACCTCAAGTTTTTTTTGGGGGAAAAATGGTACCAAGCGGTCTGCCCTCAGAAGTCGTTGATGGAACACTTGATGCACTTGGGAAACTCTTAGCTTAGTAGCTCCAAATAGTTGCGCTTTTGGCAATTATAGGTAGTATGGACAATGTCAACCCTGGATTAATAAACCCCTAGGCTGTTTAAGTGGGAAGGTACCATTTCAGTATCAAATCGTAACTATTGGGGGAATAACCCCTAATTAATAAACCATGGTTTATTAATCCGGGTTTGACATTACCTATATTGCTCCCTGAACCTCCTATGGGATAGTCAACCAACAATCAGCTGGAAATCAGCTTGATTTCCAGAGAATTTCGCTCAAAATCGTGGATTTTATGAGATGGCACCACTGAACTGCTGAACACAAAAACACAGGAAGTGATACCAAATCATACCAAATCTAGATCCGCAACAATTGGGCCATATTTTTGGCCCTCCAATGCGATCCCGGATCTTCACACGACCAAGGAGCGAATAAGCAAAGCACAAAAAGGTCCAATACCAACGACCACAAACTCGCAATCCTTGGGCGAGATTACCAAAAAATGTTGGATTCACTTATATATAGATGACTGTCCAAACATCCGTGGCGTAGCTTGGTGGCATCCCTTCCCAATCTGGGTTTGCTGAAGATGACTTTTTATCTTTACAATGGAAAATCCATGGGCATCCACTAAAGGTTGGGATGGGATTATACGTTTTCCACTGCCATGTTGAATGACCCGAATATATATATATTTGAATACGTAAAAGCACGTTCGATAGTCCTCGATATGTTGACAGTTGACAGTCACTTTCCAAAGACGTTTTTTTCTATGGTAAACTGCCAGTATCGGTCGGTTTCCCTACTCATGTCAGTATAATATACACCAACTCAGCCATAATAAATCAACTACATCAACAGTCATCAACTATAAATCCATCTAAATCACATCTATATGTTTCGCACTTCAATCCCAGCCCCGTAACGTTGTTAAAAAAAACATGTTGGTTTCTACAGCATATGAACATCAACAGGTCACCAGCGTCGCGCCCCAGCGACTCTTGCAAGGAGACGCGGCGTCGCTCGTGCACCCGCTTCTGTGCCTCCTCAGTCAAGCCCGCCTCGACGCCCATGAACTTCCGCCTCGTCCCACGGCCAGGTAGCCGGTAGCCCCGAAAAAAGTGGGAGATGGTGGGATATACCGCACTTGTATGTAGCTTATACATTATTAATAATGGATATCTTCTAGTATATATGGATATCTTATAATTACTAAATCTCATTCTCTATTATCATGGTCGTTGATCGTTGTCATATATGATCCCAAATCCAGCTGCATGTTTGCTGGTTGTATAGATGCATCCGACCGATCACATCTGCTTCAGTTACATAGTTTGATCGTTCCATAATTCCATAACTATATGCTAATACTAATATACCCATTACATCTGATATAGGTGCTTTTTTGGTTTTATTTTTATAACCTCCCTGATAATACAGTCTCTGGTGATTATCCCATAATTGAAACCACCAACCACAAACCAGTATGTTGTTACGTTGTTGGTTATACATCCCTACTATAGCCTGATTACATCCCTATTTGTTAGATGGTATTACATTGCCGTATGATGGGGAATATACCACCCAAAAACACGTTGTCAGATACTCCCTTGGACTTTTTTTCACCAGTTTAAATGGTTACATCAGGAAAGTTCCCTGAATTGATCAAACAGTAGATTGTATCCCCATTATCTCCTTATCTGTTGATCCTAATCCTTGATGGTTAATTAACCCCCTGTATAAACCCCAAAGATACAGACGTAGAGTTGTAGTTCTAGTTCTGTAGTCATATAGTGATCGTTCTACACTTAACTGGTTGGTGGTTTTAACCATCTTGAAAAATATGAAAGTCAATGGGAAGGATGACATCCTATATATAATGGAAAATAAAACATGTTCCAAACCACCAACCAAATGATTTTCCAGTTCGATATGTGTAGCTTTACCAGATGGTTTTCGTGGAAATTCCCAATAAGTTAAATAGTTCTGTACTATTATGATATATATATACTCCTCTCCCTCTCTCTCTCTCTCTCTCCATCGCCTTCAGGCCGGGTCCACCTCAACTATATATTTACAGTTCTATCGTCATATAGCTCTAAAGCACTATCATAAAAATATGTTCATAGTAACATACCCTGAGAATCCAAAGTAGCGAAATAGAAAGCAACAGGGCTCTCAGACAAAAATGCTATACGAAACAGGCTCTCGGAAAAAATGCCTTTTACGAAACATATACGAAACATCCTCTCGGGCCAAAAACAGCCTTTGGAGGGTCGTGCTATCATACACTTGAACATGCGTCGAGCAATTCTATCATGTTGTTGGCAAAAGTCACCGATATGTCGACTATGTATCTATCTACATGGGTTTTCCACACATAGACATTGGCACCTAAAGCTGAGGAGGTGGTTTTCTTCGCTGTTCGGTACAAGTTCTCTTCTTTGAGGCAAACGTTTGAAAAATCAGGTGATTTCTCTGGACTCTCTAGGCTATCAGCCATTATCAGTGTCAGCCTGATTTCTGTCAAAGTTGTGAAAGAACAGGATGCACGTATCTTAAAAGTTTATAAAATAATGCTAGTCTATGTACAAAAGATTGTGTGCGTATTGTCACTACGCTACTTCTCACCGATTGCACCAATTTCGTTCAAAACGCATTTTCGGGCACGCGTGTTCGTGACTTCAGCAAGAAGATCTCGACCATTGAAGTCCAAATCACTAGATTCTACCTCCTACACCAGATCCAAGCCAGTGGGGTCTGTTGTAGGAGCACCCAAGATCAAATATTTTTTGCTATGACTTACAAGGTCAAGATTCTTTCCCTAGAATGCGTGCAGGGACTGTCTTGACGTAACAAGATTCACAAGTTGCACGGTATTGACGAAGACTATGTGTATATATATATATATTACATATACATGTGTGCGAGCCAAGTCATGGGGGTTTTAATCCATAGCAAGCCAAGTCCAGGTATATTTGCTGATATCAAATGAACTAGAAACAAGTGGCCAAGCAATGTCACAAGAACAGGTTTACGAAGATCTCTGTCTACACCTGATGAAGTTCTCTGTCTACACCTGTACGTGAAAAATTCCGCCTTGACCAGGCAACTTTCAGCCCTTGTTTTGGAAGGACTCAGACATATTCAGACCGATCCAAGGATAAGGATGGAAATCGTTACGCATTCTGAGGTGATTTGATTTCCAAGACAGAACACTTGATGTCTGAGCGGTACTCAATGGTAAACAACACTTGGTAACATGCTATTGTAACAACACTATGGTAACAACATGCCTGAGAGATTTGGTAGACGAAAAAAGTCATGAACACTTTCCAGTCTGAACAATTTTGAGCCTGCAGGCCCGGATGTTGACGGAATGAAAAGCATGGTTTCATGAAAGTTTCATGCCTGAAAAATCCTGATCACTTTCATTCGACCTTTCACCCTTGAAAGCCGTGATGGATCTGAATGGCGCCCATGGTCCTTGAACAAAAAACAAAAGCATTTCCACAGACTTGATGCAATATGATGTTGTAGTAGTTGTAAAGGGGTTTCCGGCGCGCAGGGTGCCGTCCTGCTTTTCATGCCCGATGTTTTCTGTTTTACTATCTGCGCGTTTCAGAATTGAATTCTTGGATAGATGGAATTTCAGATTACGGCACTCTGGTGCTTTGAAGTGTAAACGCTTTAATTATACGGGGCTTTCTGGGGGCTGACTATGTTGAAAGCGCTTTGAGTTGGGTCAGTTGTGGCCCGCGTGTCAGAAACACAACCTGATATCAGAAGGTACCCTTTGAAAAACTCTTTGGGCGTCCTTGGGGCCAACTAAAGCCGTTTTTGAAAGAACTGATGTACCACCATGGCCCAAAATCCTTTCAGACGTTACACGATGGGTAGGCTGAAAACCATGCGATTTTTGGAGCTGCTTTTTCTCCCACCCCCCCCTTCCGTTACAGTTCGGGGACGTGTGGTTTCATCCAGCTCTGTTTTCCTATAAGGTCAATGCTTCCGTTCGTTTGATCCAAGCACAAATTAATTTGAAGTATGTCTACACATAAAAGGCAGTTGTAGGGAGGTGCCTCGAGCTCCTCAAAAGCAAGGTTAGTTGCAGAGAAACACAGTGAATCACGGTAAATCACGGTGAATCACGGCGAATCACGGTGAATCACGCTTGTTTTTGCCGAGAGCCCGTTTCGTATGGGCAAATCACGCCCAATCACGCTCAATCACGTTCAATCACGCTCAAACACGTTGCTTTTTGTGAAGGGTATCCTGTAGGGAGGATTTGGTGTGACACCCGGCACGTCAGTCTACCGTCATTCAAGAACAGCAGGGCTACAATTTGCCTACTTGTTTACTTGAAAGCACTTGATGTGAAGGAAAGAGCAAGCCTTTAACATACGGAGAAATATACCCACACTTGTTCTCGTCGGAATCATGCGAACGTACCCCCGGGATGTCCACTATATATCTCTTCTTTCTGATTGCCACGGCAGCACGGCAAATGCATGTTTCCTTTTGCAAGAATCTCTGATCCTTTCTTTCTTCCTCCAACCGGCCACTACCAAAAGCCTTGGTCGCTCATTGAAACAAGCCAGGTTTTCGGCGACCCCTTGCTTCTCAGAAAAACAGCGCACTACAAAACACAGCCATCTTGATCTTGTTCCATTTCAAGGAATCAAACTACTTAGCCCTTTTTTTGCAATATAGAACAACATCCAAAAATATGTGTGTAATTATATATATATATACATACACATAAAAACAGTATAAATATATACACCCACCTGTTGAGATTCCCTTCAGAATCGACAAGATTCCTGCTAGAACTAGTTTGTGTGTAATTTTGAAAAAATGGCTGCGACGGAGCAGGGTAGTGCAACGGCGAAGCCTGCAAGAAACTAGTTTGCAAGAAACTAGTTTTGTTGTGTTTGAAACGGGGGCTTCCAAAGGCATCCTTCGGGGAAAGCAAACATGTCAAAGTAGTTTTCTCTTACCAACCCCCTACTGCGCGCCATGGACCAAGAAAGACACCAACCATAAGTATCGCTTCTGTTTTGAAAATGCCCTTGCGATTGGCGTCCTCGTACGACTGCAGGGTTTATACTCCTTACTGTAGGTTAGTTAAAGGACCGCAGTACGAGCACAATGCCAGCAAACAAAAAAACGGTTGGTTTTTAATCATCAGGTCTGAAGAAGGATCCAAGCCGAAAGGAAAGAAGTAAAATTATGTTTGTTTGACATTTCTTGGTATAATAAATAAATGTCATCGATTTATGCATCACCCTAGTTCCAAAATACCAACAGTATCATGTTTTCTTTCCGATGTCCTCAGTGTGATTTCCCCGGTTCCTACCACAACCACCGAACTAAAACTATTTGCAATATAGCAGCAGGAGCATGGCATCACAACACAATGTCCGTGAAGAGGAGTTTTTTTTTCTGAAACCTTTTCAAGAATATCTAGAAAGGTAAATACAAGTAAATCAAGAACGTATTTCCATTTCCCCTTTGGTGCAAATCTCCCACACTAGGCGATATTTCAACCTTCCAAACATATCCTTAATCCCTGATTGACGTTCCCTGATTTATTTTGTGACCACCTGGTTTTTTTAGCGCATGAAGACTGGTCAGTCAGGAACAAAGTACCTGCAGAGAGGATTATCTTAAGTCAGCTGGGAAAATGTTAACCTTATTTTAGAACTTAAAAGAATAATTGTTTTGCAAACGTTTTTTTTGCATCTTGTAACCTACTTTGCACAGCATTAAATAAAGAGCGTTTCGTCACTTGGAATTCACTTGGTTTTGTTTGGCTTTCTACAAGTTTCCAAGAGATTCCAACTATAAACAATCCTGTCCGAAAATACTGTTTGAATTTTATGTCCCATGGCAAAAATGCTTCAGAAGCATGGCTCAATATTTTCCTTGAAGGTGCGGTCTTGTTGCTTCGGGACTGTGAAATTGGGGTTACAGATATTTGACATGTAACAGTGTCATGCGTCAATGATGTTTTGGTCCAGAAGGTGATAAATTGCCCATGAAATCGCGTGAAAGGGGTGCAAATTGATTGAATGTGACCTTTAAACATGCAGGATAGCTGGATCCAGGGATGGGCCACATGGCCATTTTTTCCCACAGAGCGTTTCGTGTACAAAGACTGTTCTCAGACAAAAGTAGCTTCTGGGAAAGTTTCGGCCCACATTGTGTCTATTTCATCAACTGGACCCTCAGGGATATAATAATTAATTATATAGTGATAGTGACACAATTACTTCTAGAAAAACTTCTATCGTAATAGTTCTCTAGTTCTATAGTTCTCCAATTGATAGTTACATCCCTTCGATATCCTCCCAATCGCTGTTTCACACCAGGCCGAGTTGCAGGAGTCGCAGATAGAAATCGCACTCCGCCAGGAATCCGCTGGTCATGCGGAGCCCGCGTTGGGTCCAAAAGTGCCTTGGACTCCAAGGACCCGCGACAGGTGGACAGGTGGTTTTACCACGGATGTGTGCCGCATGTCCCCCCGAAAATTGGAATCTGATCTTTTCGGATGGTCGATTTAACCAGAATTTGTGCGTCAATGGGATGTTGAATGGGTGAGTTGGGAGTAAAGTGGAGCATGAATGAACTATGTTGTACCAAAATGAGAGGATTCTACTGGGATTCCAGACTCTTCTGGCACTTGGGCTTTACCACCAAAATAATTACCCTCTGGTAATTCCACATAACTATTGAACATATCCATTCATAGTTGATTTACGCATTCAACATGGTGATTTTCCATAGTTACCCTCTGGTAAACTAACATAACTATGGAAAATCACAATTTTTAATGGGAAAACTCACTATAAATGGCCATGTTCAATAGCTATGTTAGTTTACCAGAGGGCAAGTTAGTTTACCAGAGAGTATGCATATGTTTTCAATTAAGCAATTTCTTCGGCGTCGAAAAATTGAAGGGACTCCAGGCCAAACAATTTGGGAACTTACGTCCCCTCAATGTTTGGGGAAGCTGTTGCGACATATGATGTGGGTTTTAATGTGAACATCTGGATTTTGCTGGCAAAGTTAGGTAGGTTAGGTTTTAAATTCTTGCCCTAATGTTAACATGATATATGGGTCAAATTGGCCCCTCAGATTGTCCTAGGCATTCAGGGGGATGGTTTTACAATCCAATCCCTGTGTCATATTGCACCCACAAACGCAACCCCTTTTTTCGTGTGGATTAGATCTAGTCATTTATTGGGGCAAAATGTGGGGTATCTAAATCAAATAGGAGATCCCCTGTGAGTTGAACACGTAGTGGGTTTTATGTCATCTGCTTGGTGGTTGAGCCCTAACCCCTTTGAAAAATATGACTTCGTCAGTTGGGATGATGACATTCCCAACTGAATGGAAAGTCAAAAACAAATCATGTTCCAAACCACCAACCAGTCATGTAAATCCATCTGAGGAAAGATGACAAATCGCTGCATGGCGTGCATGCCACGGGTGAACCGCTGGGAGCCCTGCCGTGTGGCAAGTGTGGTGCAAGGCGCCGCTTTCGCATTGCGGGTAGCCCTTTTAGCCATGAAATTTGACCACGAGAACACGCCATTTTTTCAATGGGAATTTCAGGATCCTAAAATTGGAGGTACCTACCATATATAAGGCCTATGTAAGGCCTATGTAAGGGAATATACCCACAAAATATGGCCTTATATGGTACAGTACCTCCATTTTAGGTTCCTGAAATGACCATTGATTTTTTAGAGATCTTCGAACACAATAATTTCTTGTTTAAACGGTTTTTCAATTCTACCCAGTGCCTCCAAGTACCATAACACTGGTTTTTAAGTACTAAGGTTTATGGATAATCCCTTCCTCCTAATACTAAACGACCCCCAAATACTAAAAACAGGCGTCCATCTCCAGTTTCAGAAAATTTCAGATTGGCCAATTTGACTTTTAATTGATCTCCTTTAGAAAACAATTTAAAGATAAAGCTACCATTTGTGGGTTTTGCCCCCTAATAATAAAAACTAGTTAACCCCGGGGTGTTTATTATTAGGGTCCGTCCGATTTGTTTCTAGTTTTTATCATTAAGGTTTTAATTTTATTAATAGGGTCCGCTTCGAAATCCAATTTTTGGCAATATTTTAATCGCGTTATAAAAGGAAATTTAATTGATTTTGAAATCGAACAAACTAGTTTTTTATTAATGTTTTATTAATATATGATCCGCTTCGAAATCCAATTAAATTTAATTGATTTTGATATCGGAAAAAATAGTCTTTATTATTAAGGGTTTAATTCTATTAATAGGGTTCCCCAAAAATAAATACCCCCCTAATACTAAAAACTACCTGCCGTGTTTAGTAATAAGGGGGGGGACGTTTAGTATTAGGAGGAAGGGATTGCTTGGATCTAAAATTAGCAATTCAATGGATTGATTTAAGGGAACACCTACAGGAAACCATTAAAACAACCATTAAATATAGGGGTTTTCCTGCACCATTTCCCTTAAACCAATTCATTGAGCCATGAAAAAACATGAAAAAAACATACGAAGAAATCCCATGGATCCTGAAATCTGAAACCGAGGTACAGAGCTGCTAAGCCATAGGAGGCAATAATGATCTGACCATAGAACTGGTCAAATATCCTCGGCGACGCAGCGCGGTGGTTTTATGGTGATTTAACGTTGGGTTTTTTTGTTCACAGAAAAATCCGGACAAAAAATCCATCATCAATTATCCTAAGGGGAAAATCTATTAGGACACCATGGATTTTCCTATGTTTTTTCTTTTTTAAATAGAGCCAAACATGCGGGTTTTCCCATGTTTTCCCCACGGTTCCCGTGCATTTTCCAATTCAGAGGACTGTGTTCCATAATGCATACCAGTTTTGGGAATGGAACATCAACAACTTCGAAACCGAGGTTTTTACTTCGGTGCTTTTCTGTCGTGGTATTTGAGGCACATGTATGTTTGGTCTGGCATGGCCTAGCCACCGTTATTCTGACCCCCAAAAAGTGGTGAAACCACCACGAGTTGCTGGGGCCGAGGTCACGGCGGATATTTCACCAAGCATCTCCACGACTTGTAGCGCAAAGAAAACAACCATGCTGCGGAAAACACGGTTGTTCTCACGGCGCAGAGCCGATGAGTGCAACACTAAGATTTCTTGACTTTACCGGTTTTACATGTTTCGACTTTTTAACTCTCACAATGTGAAAACAGAATGGCATAATTCTAAATCCTGGAGAAAATCAACCATGTTTTAATAAGCTGCTGCTCCAATTGATAAATCTAGTTCATTTGTTTAATCCTTTGTAAACTGTGACTGTGGCTTTTTGTGGGCTGCTCCCATGTTTCAAAAAACATTTTTAAGGTAATCTTGCATGCGACGGTCTTTACGACCAGCTTGGACTGGCAGCAACTGAGAACTATATAGAACTATAACATACTATAACTGTACTGTACTATGCTGTGCTGCCATACTTGTCATATGTATCATGTGGAGGTTTCCTAAAGTGGGGGTAGCTGACTTTATGGAAATCTACAGCGGAGCTGGCCACCCCAACAGAACCATCCTATCAGACGTTCGCTGGGAAAATCATCAAACTGGTAGCTGTTCCATTGCCGTGTTTGATTACCGGATGGTACTTAAGTTGCTGACCAGGAATCGCTAGTCAAATATGGTTGTTTTTTGTTGTTTCTTTGTCTTGGCGTTCAAGATCTTTGAAGCACTGTAACTGCATTTATGGCAGGCGCTCGCCGAGCCAAAAAACTCGATTCCATGGAATTTTCGTATGTGGGATTGTCTCAAAATTTTGGAACCTTATTCCATCCCATCATGGTCGCGGTTTGCATTTCCCAGTTCAAACTGGAAGACTTGGGGATAGGCATGGATAGGCCGAAAATGGCCGGCGGTTGAGCCATTGTCCCAAACAAATTTAAGAAATCAAGAAAACTGTTTTTTTTGAACACTTAAAAAATGACACGTTCTTTGTCAATGGGCATTCGCATCTGTTACCAACACCGATGCATTCGGATCTTCGTACGTGGGATGTGGGCTCACCATGGTTACAACGTGGTAACTCCGAGTGAAGTGGCTTTAATAATCCCAATGTAACTAGGAGCACGGCCTTGAGATGGCCGTGTGTTTTTTTGATTCATGGGATGCTGTTGATCATGTTTCAGGTGCTCGTGCCAATAGGAATTCGTGTGATTTTAATGTAAAGGCCGTGAACGCCTTAGCTCCAAGCAAACAAATGAAAACAGTCATTTCGCCTACGAAACCAGTCGTTTCACAATTTTTCGGCCGTCTTTTGTTCACAGCAGCACTTCAAGTTCTTCCAAGAACTTTTAGGACCTGGATTCTGCAAGCTTGCTCGCCAGCACCACATGAACACATATTGTGCCACGGAGGGGTGCAAAGAGGAATGTCCACGCTCTTTGCATTTCAAAACCGGCAGTAACAACCGACAGCAACAGCGTAGCTTCTACTTCATGTGCAAGTTCGCATGGACGTTAATACATGCCCCACCCCACCCCACCCATCCCCAACAAAACACCACGACCGTCTAAAGGCCGTGTTCCAACACTAGCCATTTGGGAATGGTTTGTACATGTTTATACAACCTATTTATAGTCATCTGGGGGATGGTTTATGGCATGTTTTACCCCCATGAACCCAACGTTCACCAAGGGTGGCCACGATCCCCCAGGGCGTACCCCGAAGTTGCCGTGCGACACACCGTCCAGGGCAGGTCCCAAAAGGGCGCCCGCGGTGAACATCGCGGCGCCGTGCGGCGCGAAGTCCTGGCGTGCGGTCCTTAAGGACCTGGGGCCGGAAATGAGAAGTAAATGGTGGTTGGTTGTTGGCTGTTGCTTGGTTGTTGGTTGTTGGTTGGTATGTTGTGGTATGTTGTGGTATGCTGTGGTATGTTGTGGTATGTTGTGGTATGCTGTGGTATGTTGTGGTATGTTGTGGTATGTTGTGGTATGTTGTGGTATGTTGTGGTATGTTGTGGTATGCTGTGGTATGCTGTGGTATGTTGTGGTATGTTGTGGTATGCTGTGGTATGTTGTGGTATGTTGTGGTATGCTGTGGTATGTTGTGGTATGCTGTGGTATGTTGCGGTATGTTGTGGTATGCTGTGGTATGCTGTGGTATGTTGTGGTATGTTGTGGTATGCTGTGGTATGTTGTGGTATGCTGTGGTATGTTGTGGTACGTTGTGGTATGTTGTGGTATGTTGTGTTTGTTGTGTTTGTTGTGGTATGTTGTGGTATGTTGTGGTATGTTGTGGTTGTTGTGGTTGTTGCGGTTGTTGTGGTTGTTGACTGTTGGTTGTTGGTTGGTTGTTGGTTGGTTGTTGGTTGGTTGTGGTTGTTGTGGTTGTTGTGGTTGTTGTGGTTGTTGTGGTTGTTGTGGTTGTTGGTTGTTGACTGTTGGTTGTTGACTGTTGGTTGTTGACTGTTGGTTGTTGGTTGGTTGTTGGTTGGTTGTTGGTTGGTTGTGGTTGTTGTGGTTGTTGTGGTTGTTGTGGTTGTTGTGGTTGTTGTGGTTGTTGTGGTTGTTGTGGTTGTTGTGGTTGTTGTGGTTGTTGGTTGTTGGTTGTTGGCTGTTGGTTGGTTGTGGTTGTTGTGGTTGGTGTGGTTGGTGGGGTTGTTGTGGTTGTTGTGGTTGTTGTGGTTGTTGTGGTTGTTGTGGTTGTTGTGGTTGTTGTGGTTGTTGTTGTTGTTGTTGTTGTCGTGTTTGTTGTGGTTGTTGTGGTTGGAGGGGTTGTTCTGGTTGTTGTGGTTGTTGTTGTGGTTGTGGTTCTGGTTGTGGTTGTGGTTGTGGTTGTGGTGGTGGTTGTGGTTGTGGTGGTTGTTGTTGTTTTGGTTGTTGTTTTGGTTGTTGTTGTTGTTGTTGTTGTTGCTGTTGTTGTTGTTGTGGTGGTTGTTCTTGTTGTTGTGGTGGTGGTGGTTTTGGTGCTTGTTGCTTGTCGCTTGTTGCTTGTTGTTGTGTGTATTTATGTTCATGTTTATCTAACAGACTGGCTTCGAGGCAATGGCCGCTGCCGCTTTCTTGCACTCTGCGCTTCACATCCTTTTCTACCTAACCTGCCCTCACTTCGGTCTCTAACTCCTAGGTTTCTGGTCTTGCTGAGATGTCCATGTCCACTTCTGCCATTGCCCCTTCCAATTTGCACACACTCGTAATTTTGTCAGCAGAGTTTAAACCGAAAAGCTCCTGCCAGAAATATTTCAGAAATAGAAGGTGAGGTTCCCTAGATAATCTATAGCTAAGTGGACTTATAACTTGGTCTAGGCTATAGGGGGTAGCTGCATTCATTATAATACGGTTTAAAAACTACCTAAAAATGGGGGCAACATTGTCTCATTTTATCCTGCACCACGCAACCTCTGTTAATTTTCCATTGCTGCTGTCTCTTACAGACCTATCGATATATAGGCATTGTTTTTAATCGACACTTCGGCTCTAACGCGTCTGCGAATATCGGTGCTTTATGCGATGACATGCCGATACCTGAGAGGTCAGTCGCATTGGCGACTGCAAAACAAGGCTAGTCACCTGCGCCAACCAAGGATGCAAACTGTGGGAAGGGCGTCTACTTCGACATGCTCTAAGATTACATCTTTCCCTCAAAAACTGAAAGTTGCAGGTGGTTATCATTCATCCAGGCAAATGGTATGTAGGTGAGCGGCCCGGATTTTTGCAATTTCTCGAGGTATCGAACAAGTCATGCACCAACAATTTCTGCGCATTTTGGCTCTTCTTACTATTCACACTATTGACTGACTAAACTCATATGTCTCTTTGATTTCCCAAAATTCCAGCAGGAGGTCACATATTATCATTATCCATTGGAAATCACAAGTCCGGTGAAATTGAACAATAGAATGTCCATGATTTTTTCCCACGTTCCAGCAGGATCCCCCAAGGTTTTCGCGCAGCAGTCTCCTTGCCCAAGGCTTGCTGCGCCAGAGCGCCTGGACGAAGTGGTCAATAATTTGGTGAATGATGTGCGACTTGGAAAAGCAGCACTATTTGGAAAGCGTAAATATGTTTTCCATGGGCAATAATCAAAAATAATCAATTTATATTAATTGATTTTCCATTTTGGAACGCGTTGGAAAACCGATCAATTTTTTATTATGTAACTAATATATAATTTTTAACGATTGGAACATATGTTTCCAAAAATGGAAAACACAATGTGGAACATCAGAATCCAGCATATTACAATTTGCTATGGAAAACACAAATTTGAAATAGGTAAATCAGGATTGTTATCATGGATAAATGGGCAATTGCCCATAATGGTGCAAACTTCTGAGCCATGGTGGGATGATGGCTCAGTGAGATTCAAAGATGGGATTGATGCTTGAAAATGATGGTTAATGTCCATGGGTTTAAGGGAAGTCTACAGTCTACAGGAATCCATGGATTTTCCTATGACATATTGGCGTTTCCTGTAATTCTTCCCTTAAACCAATCCGTTGATAAGTGTCATTGTGTACCCATTTTTTCTTCATCTAGAATTGCCAGTTTGGGGGGTGTCCACCATGTTCCAGCAATGATATGGGGCTGGGCTACATCCCTTGACATATACGGCTACATACAACGTGGTGCCACGTACTTGGCAAAGTTCGCTTCTATCTAACTTAAATAGAATTTATGGAGGTTTATGTTAGATACAAGTACTATGGACACTAGTTAGGCAAGGTTTATAAACCAACTTCAAACTGGGGGACACGGGAACAGCACCTTGCTTTGTTTGGGGGTACCACTCAGTTCCAATGTATTTCACTCCGACTTCACCTGAAACCCAGTACGGTTATTAAAGAAATGGGATCCACTATCCACCAAAACTACAAAATTTATGGGGATTCCAACCATCAATCTATTTATATATATATATATTGTTATATATCCATATGGTTGGTGAACATGACATTGCTGTACTAAAATTAACCTCTATCCTACAATGTGGGGGTTTCCACATAATGTTTGTTTCTTTGTAAACCCCAGAAACTAGTCGGTATAAGATGTTATAAGTACCAAAAAGACCATAGTGAACTTGGAGTTATGTTCACACACTCAGCCCCACTGTCTATGATTTTCCCATATTTTCCCATGTTTCCCATGT